TGGTGGAAGCGTTACTTTCAGTCGACGATACCCCACTTATGTTACACCATTCGATGCAGAATGACGAGATCTATCCATCCCAGGAGTTTCACACTCATCCCAAGTACTGGAGCGAATGTCAGCAGGATATACTCGAATCCGCTGCTAACTTCCATTACGTATGACACGGTCGGTTCCGGCCGGTTAGGTTCGTTTTTCGACCATTTCCTGCAATCTTCGAACTGGAAACGGTGAGGTACTGATCGGATATTTCCTGTGCGATTCCGGCCGGAATCCGGCGGCAAGGAATCGGCGAAAACTGTGCCGGAATCGAGAAGAGCTGTACCGGAACCGACTCATATTTCAGCGGATCCAGTCGCCGGAATGATCGACCTGGGAAGTTCACACTGAAAAGAACCCGACAGTGAAAGACAATTATAACTTAAATCTTACGTATAATTGTTGAACCTTTGCCCGTGCCAGTAAATTGGTCGGATTTGCGATTGATTTATTATTCATCTAAAAGAATGGAAATAAAGAGTTGAACTTCGAATCCGATGAAAAACCAGTTGACTCACCGCTTCTAATTCTTTGAGTTTTCACTACAGACCAGACGCCATATAGAAATAGTTTAGAAAAAATCTTTTATCTAAAATCAAAATAATCAGGTCCGGAACAGATGGTATGAAGTTTTGAGCTCGTCATCGTCAATTGATGAAAAACGAATCGAAGAAATCTTCCCATAGAACAAAATCGATTACTATACTACTACCGCGAGGTAATTCCCCACGTTATGTATCCTCTATAATAGGATAGAAAAGGAAATACACGATAGATGACGCCAGTCGTCAATACTTGACTTTTTCCTTAGACATTCTTTTGTCAACTTTTATGTGTGATTTGAATTCGTGATTGTCTTAAATCAAGACTCCTGGCTCCATCAGCGTAGAAACGAATATTGTTCGCGCATTGATTGATCGTTCAGTCGAGGCAAAGATCGTCAATTGTAACAACGACTAAGTCTTTCCGATGAGACTTGGAAATGATCTAGAAGCTTGAAATCGACCTTGCCCGCCTAAAAACGTTTTGAGACCGGCAAAATGCAACTGCCTTGTTTTATCGTTCGCTACTAATTAAAGACAAAGACTTGAAAGACAACCATGTTTCATGCGTCTTGATTGAATTTACTCATTCCTATTCTGATCCAAGAAATTAAACTTGTTAATGCGATGCGTACGTCGTGCAGCTCTTATGTAGTCTGGGCGAAAGTTTTCTTTCTCAAAAGCGAAAGTACAATATGTAGACTGAATTCAGCAGAATTCTACTTTTCAGGCCCTACTGATGTCCACCCACAACTTCTCTAATTGTGATTTCCATCCAAAACATCCACATGAAACATATGAGCGATAAACGCATCAGTTTGACTTTTCCCAAATGACACATGATGTTTTCGGAATGGAGGAGCTCATGGAAAGCTGTATGTTCATTTGTTCCATACAATTTTATCCGTATTGGTGCATTTGTTGACGCGCCATTACAATTACCTGTTGTAATCGATACTTTGTAATCACATTGAAGACCTTTGCTTATCAGTGGACAGTTGTGTGTCTTTGATTAGAAGAGGAAAATGAGATTTGATGAGAAAGAATTTGTTCGAGGAATTTTTGCTTTGTTTTGATACAGTTTTCGTATCAACAATATCCGACCGTTGACTAAAATGAAAGATTAAGGAACGTCGTGATTTGACCATCGATGCGAAAATATCTGCTGTATTGCCAATTAAATGATCTCGTTCATCTCGGGAAAGCTTCAGCGACGATCTTAATCGAATTTGACGTCTAGGTACATTTAACGAGCTGGATTGACGTTTTGATCGTAATGGAGCATCGCACAGTTTAGGGTTTTCCTTTCCCTAGAAGATTTCACAACAAAGTGAATCGAATTCATCTGTTTTGTTCTTCTTACCAGAAGACTGTATGAACGCATATGAAATTGAAGTTCTTCACGGTACATTTGTTTTTCAGGACTAGGCAACGTTGCCTAAGAATCAATATTTGATCGTATGTCCGTAAGATTTTTGTTGAAATTACCTCAAGCTGTTTCGGTTTGTATTGAAAACTATGTTTGTCCGCATGTTGTTTGTTAGTCGCTCCGAACACAAATTTCTAAATAAAGTCTGCAGTGAAACCAGCGTATTTGCGTTAACTTACTGTTTTCTTCGGTAACAAATCCTAAACGGGCGTATTCGCATCGAGAACAAACGCATCTTCACGACTTTTCACATCCATATAATATTTCCTACCGCGAAAGAAAACCGAAATATTGACTCGAACAACTCTTCGATGCTTCTTTGAGACTCGCATGAGTTAATCGATCCATATTTATCTTTCGTATTCTGTATGGTTTCATCAACGTTGTCTTATTCATTCTTTCCTTCTTATAGTAGAATTCGAACGAATCCTTTGTTTATTTTCAATATCAAACACGATCAATACATTCGCTGAACATTTCACTTTGGGGAAGGGTGAAATGTATAACAATATAAATAATCATCACGAGAACCAACAATAACATGATCACGATAACAAATTGGTGAAGAAAAAAGTCCTTCACCGGGAATGTATATTTCACATAAAATTTCACCTGTTTGACTACTCAATGCACGTAGACATCCGTTTGTTGAGCCAACAATCAGCATTCGGCCATGATCGAACACGAACGGCGAAGCATAGATCATTGATGGAAACCGACATTTCCACTCTAAGACACCTTGCTGTTCATTTGACAAGTTGACTGCGTAGAGAAATTCATCATGGCAGCCGATAAATAGTTTATCACCGAATAGACATGGAGAGGAAAAGATTGGACCATTCGTTTCAAACGTCCATTTCTAGAATAGTTAACAAAGTGAAATATCTTCTTTGCGAAAAAGATTGTTTATAGATAAAGGATCCATACCTGTTCACCAGTCTCACAAGTCAAGCAGTAAAGCTTTTGGTCAACACATCCTACTAAGAGGAATCTTTCTTTCCAGATGGCTATTGTTGAAAAGATTGGTTTGGTCAAGGAACGTTTCCATAACATAGTTCCATCATTTGATTGAAAAGCGAACACATCTCCGGCTAGAGTCGCAACATAAAGTCGCGTGTTATCTGCAGATAATTGTGGAGACGAAGCACAACTGCTCTTCAAGCCGAATTTCCACATACATTTCGATGAATTTTCCTAAAATTTCACTATTAATCAGAAACTCAGATCATTCGAAAGACAAATACTTGAATTTGAATGGCGTGAAGATATTGGTCATGCGCACCGACATATACCAGATCAAGTAACGAATGGATACAAGGTATTGTCTTGATCAATCCTTCACATTGATACGTCGAATAAAGTTCACCATTCGAACAATGAATTACGTACAATAATCCGCTGTAATCACCTAGAAACAACCAGTTCTGAGCCGAATTCGAACGCCGGAAGGGACCTTACCGATAAGAACAAATAGTCCATTTCGTGAAAGAGTTGCACTGGCTTCGATTCGATCATTTGCTTGAAATGACCATTGGAGTTCGCCATTGCTGATTAGATAAGCATTAATTAAACCTGCATGAGATCCAATAATGACATATTCTCGTTGATTGTCAAGTAAAACTATTAGTGGAGATGCATCGATACATTTCATCATCGAACATTTCCAAGATAAGATCAATGATTGAGTAGAAATTGATGATTGTTCGAAACACGATGAATAGAATTGCATAGGATGGTGATTATCGTGTAGAAAAACTTTTGAACAGCGTTGAATTGACCAAATTTGATTGAGATTTGACTGTGGAATTGCATTGATTGGTAAAGATGAAGAAAAATATTCGGTTTTCTTCTCTTCTTGAGGGTTGGCTATGTATTTGGCTACATCTTCAAATGTTTTATGGAGAACAAGGTCGAACAGATAAGCTGAATCAATTGTCGAGTAAACTTGTTTGATTTGTTCAATAAAAGTCAATGCTAGCAACGAATTTCCACCATCCGAGATGAAACTCGCATTATTTTCCGGAAGTTTTCTCAAAAGATTCTAAAATATCCAACGAAAAACTACAACAAATAAACTTTTCCTTCTTCTCACCTGCCAAATCTCCTCCACGGTACTATTTTTCGTCTTTTCGACAGTATTTTCATACACTGATTGTAATTTTTCTCGATCAATTTTCCCATTCGTATTCAACGGCAGATCATGTTCAATCACAACGATTCGATTCGGTTGAAAATGCTCCGTTAAACAACTTTTCAGAAATCTCTCGAGCTGATCAACTCGTTCTTCCGTTTTGAATTTACAAAGAAGAACTAAGAAGTTTTCATTCAACATAAAACACGCACATTGATCAAGCAGATTTGATTGATGAGCAACCTGAAATCCCAAATCTATAAATAGAAGATGTCTACGTTGAATTCTTAGTCTCTTGAGAGTGTCAACAGGTAATGGCATCATTAAGCAGACTGATTTAATTCCATTCATAGAAATGATCTTTGTAAATGTTCACAACAAAAGCCTCTATTTTTAATCTGCTAAGTGCACTTTTCTTATCCATACCAGTGAGCATGCAGAAGGATATAATTAGATGGAAATGTTCTTACTTGTTCAATGGATTCAAGACTAATCATGACACCAAGCCGCTTCACTGTCAATGTTCTTCTTCCGAGGTAAAACATTTCATCGCTGGATGAATCATAACGAATCAAGTCATCAGTTTCGAACCGGAATTTCCGCTCCGTTCCGATTCGTGTCCAACGGGTTTGACTTTCTAAACTGGATTCTCTTTTCTTCGCAACAAGAAAAAAAGATCAATTCAATCTCACCTAATACTATTTGATAACAATCAGTTCGTGTTGGATCATCGAGATACGGTTGGAGGAGTAACGCTGTCTCATCCAATGGTTTGCCTAATGGAATTTGATCGCGTCTTGAAGACTAAGAATGTGAAAGGTAAGCCAAACAAGAGAGAAATTCTTACTGAAGATCAGTTCTATTCAGTAGATGATAGGATGCCCAGCATGACATCTCAGTTAAACCGTAGATGTTGATCACACGTTTGTTGAGTTGAACCATTTGATGAATGATTGAATTTTCTCGGAAAGAAAAAGGTTCACCGCCGAGGACTAAGGTTTTCAACTGTAAAATATTGCAATGTGGAGCGATTTGACGAAAAAAACTCGGCGTCATCTGAAAGAATTCCTTCAGCAAACGATCGTTTTGGTGAGAGGATGTATTACTTGTGCGATTGTGCATTGACTTTGATCGAATACTGAGGAAATCATCTTTGGATTCCGACGAATATCCGCGGAAAATGTACAAAGACATGCGCCGGAATGTACAGCGAGAAATATATCAATAAACGACGGATCAAATGTCAACGGTGTTGAACGAAATAAACAATCATCTTTCGTCACGTCGAATACCGATCTATAAATCCGAACGTGGTCAAGTTTCTCGGAGAAAAAGCGTGTTTACCTTAATTGAATTAAGTTTGGCAAGATACACTGATGCGATACATAGATTAATTTCGGAATACCCGTTGAGCCTATTGAAATTCAATGAATGCTTATCTGTATGAACTTTCATGTTATATAAAATCATTTCGTTATGACAAATTTTTTATCAGTTCATTGAACAGAATTATTAACTTTCACAATCTCGTGCCTGTTTTCCTCTCTCGCAACGAACAACACATCAATTTCGCTGTTACCTGATGAAGCAACAACATAGGCGATGTCCGGATAGGAAATCGTGTTGAAATTCTGAACGAAGTTAATTGTTTCATCAAGGAAAATCCGATTTGACAGTGTAGCATGATGAAATATCTGCTGGTAAATGCTATTCTGAAATAATAGAATAGAGAAAAAAGAAACGAACGTTGACAGTGATAAGGAAATTCACTTCGTTCTGACGTTGATAAATAAATAGTGATGGATTCAATTGCAGGAGAACGTTTCGCAACATATTTTCAGGCCAATTAGAATTACAAATGAAAAATGCGTTCCTCGACTGAAGAATTCTGCGAATGAAAGACAAGATAGCCTTGGTTTCCACCAATGTCGACAATTCTAACCCTAGGAGCAATGGAATTGTTAAATATGTCTCTTCCCTATCGAGAACAATCAGTTGCTCGTGAATATTTAAATTCAAGATTTGTTTACATATCTAAATGCAACAAATATATCGAAAGGATTCAGTTGAGTGTCGATTTACTTCATCGGCAAGTTTCATCATTTCTGTATAAGTCAGACTTTTCATCGGTGCAAGAAGATTTTCCTGATAGTGTCTGATAGCAATATTCTTATTCATTGAATTTGAAGAATTCTGACTGGAAATCCATTGCCAAACTGTTTTGAACACCATCTCTGCTTGTATTTGACTTTTTCTCGACAAAAAAAAACCGAAATCGAGTTTTTCATCATCGTTTTGCTCTACGTTGATTTGTTCGTTCTGTCTATCCAATAAAACGATCGTGAACGATAGAATGGTAAACAAAATGGCTCGTCATTTTTCTTCTGAAGAAGAACTTGTCATAATCGATTTCTAATCCGTTATATCTTCTAAGCAAGAAATATATTCCATCATACATTCTTTTCTCTGTGTATATCAACCATCATGTTTCAATTATGTGGTAAGAAATATGATCTATTTTGAAAATAAACATACTCTTTTCTCTCATCTATATATATGTATATATGTGTGTGTGAGGGAAAACTAGTATTAGATTAAAATGATTTCATACATATTTATATTAATAGAAGAATTTGTCGCAATTTCTTTTGAAAAGTTTTGAATAATTCATTATCTCCTTGACAAGACTTCTTCAACGGGAAAAATAGTGCTCCGGTTCAAGGTTGTTCTTTAATTCCAAAGTTATTACGATAATAGTCAACTGTTTCATACAACTCTATGTACTTCTCGTTTCCTCGCTCTCTTATTAACCCTAATAATCGCTTATAATTTGAAAAGAACGTCGGCGACATCGTGTCATCGATTCCGGAGAATAGTATTTAATCTATTAGACAAATTAGTCGTATTGTTTCAACAATTTTCTTCTCTACGAGCATCATTATTTTCATATCGATGTAATTTTTCGCTTAAGATACTCAATCAGATAGACTTGTAAATATGTAAGTTGTTTTTGATTATTGATTCGGCAAATTGCCATGAAATTTCTCGAGTTGTTGACGAGTTTCTAATGGCCTTCAATGGCAATAAACATATATGTTCTATTCGTCGCTGATGACGGAAATGTGTGTAGAAAGCACAAGAAAGAGATGATTTACAAATAATAATTCTTTTCGCGTCGTCGAATCAATTTTTGTTCTTGTAAGAGCGAGCGTACGCGCGTCGTTACAACCNACTATTAGTTTTGATTAGTCTCATGCGGTTGTGTCAACGTCAACTAATGATGGACACAGCTGTATTTCGATCTTGTCGGCGCCCTTTTACGTCGACATGGTGGTAAGGATAATGATTGATAGACATGCCGATAAATTCCTTAGATAAATATACTTGAGTGCAATTAATTTGTTTTATTTTCAGCTAAATACATTGTGGACACAAATTGAAGTTGTCGAATTATCCAACGACGGCACCGGACTTGGCTTTGGAATAAGCGGCAATAAGTCAACGGGTGTGGTCGTCAAAGCTATAGTGCCTGGTTCGATTTCGGACAAAGTACGTTGATTTCAAACCGTGATTACGCAAAAAGCGAGCTTCTTCCACTTCCAGCTGCTTTTCTAATCGACAGAGTAAAAGACAAGAGGAGAAGAAGAAAAACGCAAAGAAAACATAGATAGAGGAAAAAAAAGAAGAAAAGAAGTCAGAAAATAAATTTGCTTAATGAATGATAGCTAGTAGGATAGTATGCGTATATCTTTTCCAAGGAAGAAGAACAGAAAAATGAAGAGACAGAAATAGCAAAGATGAGAAAGACAAGCAGTCATTTGCGTTGTCATATTAGCCGATTCGATGAGCAATATATATCCAAGAATCCTTTTATATCCGTTATTGTTTGATTTGCTTTTCGTCTTATTATAGGATGGTCGTATTCGTACGGGTGATCACTTATTTCAAATCAATCATGTTTATGTTCGAGGCATGAGTGCAGAACAAGTTGCAGGAATACTTCGACAATGTCCCGAACAAGTTCGCGTAGTTATAGCACGGAGTGTTCGGGAACCGCAAACAGCAAGTAGTAGTTCACCATCAATCTCTCAACGTCCTTCAGTGACATCAGAAACTCAAACTCATTCAAGAAATCCTTCGTCATCAATGGGTCTCGATAATGACGGAATTATCAGCAATTCTCAACATAAAATCATTTTACGGACTGAACGATTGTTGGAAAGCAATCATAATTTAGAAAAAATCCTTGATAATCTGCTCGAACAGGTTCGTTCGTTCGTTTCTTTCCTTTGTCTCTCGGCACTTGAATAAGGGAGAAAAGGGAACAACTAATTAAGAGCAACATAAAAGCGTTTACATGTTATGTTTTTCTCACTCTAGCTTATAGTGTATGTATATTTTCTTTCCTATTTAGTATTCTTTCCGTTTTCTTCATTCATTCTTCAAGTCTCTTGGGCACTTTCTTCTTTTCACTCTTCATCATACTCGACTGAAGGGTCTTTACATAGACTACGAGCATGACAGGTTGCTTTACTAGTGGGGAAATAATATGAAAGAAGAGAAAAAAAGAATCGTGTATTCACATAATAAATATGCGGAGACGGATAGTACAAAACGATTGTCGATTGTTAATCTTCGAGATTTTCTTTTTCTCTCGTCTTCATGTTGAAATGTTGCTTTCGTAAGCGCTGAATAGATAACCATCGAGTCATTTGTCTCGTTTCCCTTCGTACTTATGTTGTTATTTGATTATATCAATATATTTAGTGTCAATCTGAAGATGGAACAGAAATTCTGGATGTTACACTTGAAAAAGGCGATGATGGATTAGGTATCACCGTGGCCGGATATGTCAGTCCCGATTCGACGAATAATGGTAAATATAACGATGTATGCGCGACATTTATTGACATCGAGTTAGAGAATGTCTGTATGAAGTTAGTCGCTGTCAGCTAAACAGATGTTATGACAATGATTATATCTTCGGATTTATAGAGTTATTTGGAAACAATTAGCCGCATATTTATCCTCGATCGATATCATCAATGACATCGAAGCGAGATCTTCTCAAATAGCCTTTCGCGTTTCCAGATGGAAGGAATTGATTCGAAAAACTTTCGCATCGATCATTCGTTAAACATCTGTAGTCATTCCGTAAACATCCCCTGATTGATTTATGTTAACTAAACAAATGCTATTACGATTCGATTTCTTTCTTCTTCGCAGATGCCATTGCTGGAATATTCATTCGTGAAATTGCTGAAGGAAGTGTATGTTCAAGAGATGGTCGTCTGGCGATAGGTGATCAAATCATTGAAGTGAATGATCAATCATTAAATGGCTTTTCCAATGTTCAAGCACTTTATTTGCTACAAAATACCAGTGCTTCGGTACGATTGAAAGTTCGACGTTATATCGATGGTGTCAAATATGAAAAAATCAAAGAAATGATATGTAAATGATTGAGTTGTGTTTAGAACGAATTCGCTGAACACAGGGTGTGTTTGTTGTTTTAGCGTTAGAATCTTCTCAAGCGATCGAAGAAAAAGTCGATCTTCAAAATCAACTGAATCTTAACGATCAACTTCATCAGAAATGGATGAAAAGTCTAGGAAATAATTATGAAATTCTTATTGTTGATCTTTACAAACCCGATAATGGTAATCTCGGCATAACACTTGAAGGCACAATTGATGTGGAAAATGGCGAAGAAGTTGGAGCACATCATTACATTCGAACGCTTTTGTCTGATGGAATCGTTGAACGACAAGGAACTCTGAAATCCGGTGATGAACTCCTCGAAGTAAGAAAATCTATTGAGCTCTCGGTTTAGAAATCATTTCTTTCGTTTTCAAGATTAACAATCAGATTTTGTATGGAAAAAATCATATTCACGTCATTGAAATCCTCAAACGTATTAAGCATCAGATCAAACTAGTTTGTGCTCGTCGAAAACTTCAACCCGAATCTGATGAAACCAGTCCGAAATTATCCTCGAAGCGTTCACGCTCAATCTCATTCGGCAAAACAACAGAAATCGTTGTCAAAGCCAAAAGTTTAGGAACATTAGACTCCACTAATGGGTCTTTCCTTCGAATCACAAAAACACGTTCATTAGAAGTCATTTCCAATTTAGCCTTATGGTCCACGTCGATCTTAAACATTGAGTTAATCAAAACAGAAAACGGCCTTGGCTTCTCTGTTCTCGATTATCAAGATCCATCGAATCCAAGTTTCTCACCGGTGATTGTTATCCGAGCATTAGTCCCAGGCGGGGTGGCACAACTTGATGGACGAATTGTTCCTGGTGATCGTCTAGTCGCTGTCAATGATATCATACTCGAAAATATGAATCTCGACGAAGTTATCAAAATTTTGAAATCCACTCCGAAAGGTCCCGTGAAACTCAGTATATCCAAGCCTTTACCCTATCCGAAGTTTAAGAATGATAATGACGATAAAATGACAACTGATAGCGAACAAAGCAGTCAACTGAATCGGCGTGTTTCTCGAATCAACAAGAGTAAGACATCCGCCGAAATTCGGAATAGCCACAAGGTAAAGTGAATTTGTTGTGCTTAGTTAACCTCTAAGACGCAAATAGATCAGCCGAGAATAATATGTTGTTTTCATTGAATTGAGTTTTCTTTTTTTTCCGTTCTAATGAGAATCATGTCGTGTTTACATAGCTTTTCTTCTCGGTTAAGCATAATCAAAAAACAAACTATTGATTTGTTTTCGGTGAACTCTTCAGGGATCTAATCACAAAAGATTAGTTATTGTAAGAAAAACGTTTTTCTTTAAATCAATTTTAGCGTTCGGCTTCAAGCCATCGATCTGTAAAAGATAAACTAGCTGTCTCGCCCGGAATCGCGCTCTCTGCACCAGCGATTCTCACTCGACATGACTACACGGAAACGTTATTAGTGAAAAATGATGCAAATCATCACGTCGAACAACGTGTTACTCAACAGCAGAAAACTCCACAAAGAACTTTTCTAATCAAGAACGAAAATCTTTCTTCATCAACATCGAATTTATCACCACCAACTAGGATTAATCTTCCCGAATTCATCCAATTTCAGTCAGATCATCTTCTCTTCACATCGTCACTCATATTTCATCGATCGTTGGATCGACTACGAAGTCCATTAACAGTTTCACCTGCGAAATTCGCTCGACAATCGATGGTGTCTCCCACAATACCAACGAATTCCAATACCAGTCATTTGTCGACGAAACGTCTCTCTCGATCTCGCCATTCATACGACGCGACGAGTTCTCGCGAGAAACAACGAAAGTATTCGAAGCGTTCGTCAACCAACAAATTCGAATCGAAGTCATGCTTTAATGAAGTGAGTACATTTCAGAACATTTTGTTTGTTTAAGCACAAGATATCGAATACTCAATGGGGAATAATAGTGCTAATGAAGAAAATTTGATTGCTGTATGTTTGTTCCCACAGGAGTCTACAAACAAGATGAAAGAGAAGTTCACACCGCTGGTGACAAAATGAAAGACGCGAAGAGGAAGTCTCGAGAGAATTTACACTAAAAGAGAGAAGAAGAAAACGCCGAACTGTTTTCGATATTCCAACGGAAATCAGGCCGATAGAACAAAGGTATTTTGATTAATTATAACGTTCATATTCAATTGAATTTCTCTAAATCACTTTCTCGTTACTAAAAAAAGAAAATGACATTCCAGAATAGCTACACAAAAGAAAAAAGTACTCTGTTAAATATTCATATCGTTGCATTCTATTGACACATACTCATTTCTCTTCCGTATTTAATTCGAAATGAGCACAACAAAGCGTCGATGACAATCTTACGGCTTACTTTTAGTTTACCTAGACATCGACATAGATATTCTGAGATTTTCTCGTCATTCATTAATATAATTAGCCAGTTCGTCTATGTCTGTTTGCATTTAAGTTAATTATAATTGACATATCGATCTTAATCCCGTTCTTCCTAATGATTTCGTTGATAAAGATTAGTTGTTTATAACATCAATATGTTGACCTTCTACTTAACTTGACAAGAGCAAGGATAAGTAAAGTAAATGACTTTCTTTTCTGCTTCTAGGCTGATTTAAGTAGTGATGATACTAATTTGATTCGTTCATCTTCATTATCAAATCGATATTTGCCGAAAACGACAGTACAATCTGCAGATGTTAAGAATGAAACTGTGTGTATGGTCGATGAGAAAAATCAATTAGACGAGTTAGCCATTAATAATCATCAAACATCGAAATCCATTTCTTCTTCCAAACAATCGTCGCGAATGACATCGCCTGCTGTCTCAACTAATACTCAGTCTTCCAATCATTGTCTTACAATAGCTCAACAACAAGTTATCGAATTGCCCATGGACCTTGAACGCGAAACTTTGATAAAGAACGCTTTTGATCAATTGAGTAAGTCGACGACTGCGACAAGTTTGAGAAATTTCCTTCTCGGATTTAGATTTAACTGTCGATGCATCGGTCGATAATGGCATTAATGGTTGTTGTATACAATCTTTGTCAACGATGGATACTGATTTACAACTAGGCGATTTTATCGTATCGATTAATAATGAAAATATGAGACAGATTAGTAATGCACAAGCATGTGAAATCATCCAACGTGCGTCAATAGCTGGGTCAGATATTAGGTAGATCGATGAGAGATTTATTTGTTTTCGATACACATCTTTGATCGTTTTAGCGTTATTTACATATCTGGAAATCAAGTTAGACAATACAAAGAACAAGTTCTCGTTTCACCGCCGATTCCATCTGAGTAAATAGAAAAAAAACCAATGCGTAAAAACATCGAGGATATGACTTTTCTCGTTTTTAGTTACTTAGCTTTCGATACCGAATTCACCGACGAAACAAGTACTCCTCCAAGAATTCTCGATACCGAAAATTTATGTTCAACTCTTTGGGGACCGGCACGAACTGTTATTCTCTACCGTAATGAACATGTGAAAAGCTTAGGAATAAGTATTGTCGGAGGCAAATTGGATTTTTCCGGTCCGGGAAATACGATCGAGTCATGTATATCGGGAATCTTTATCAAACACGTGATTCCTGATTCGTTAGCTGGACGGCATAGTACATTGAAGACAGGTGATCGTATTCTTGAAGTAAATGGTTATAATCTTCGTGATGCCACGCATGACCATGCAGTGGATATCATTCGCTCAGCGAAATCGCCAATTTATTTCATTGTCCAAAGTTTATTGGATCCGGCAACTCAACCGGCGCATGTAGAACAGAATGAAAATCTCCATTTGATTCGACAGTACAAACATTTGAATGGCGAAGTGCTTTTAGTTGATATTCAGAGAAATGCAATGGAAATGAACGAACCGCTTGGCCTTTCATTGATCGGACATCGAGATCCGGAGAATTTAGCGGTTTTTGTCTGTGATATTCAGGCGAATTCATTACTTGATCGGGATAATCGATTACAAATTGGTGATCAGTTACTTCAAGTCAGTAGACTGTTCATTGAAACCAGACTTTTTACTCATTTTCGAGGATGTAGGTCAACGACGAAGTTCTTCTCGACAAACCTCATTCAATCGTGACATCGGTCATCAAATCAATCAAATCCGACCATTTAACCTTCATTATCCTTCGGTAAAGACAAATCCATTTAAAAAATGTTCACTTCTTCATCTGTTTCTCATAGAAATCCTAATGCAATTCATGCCATGGCTCTCAGACAACCTTATGCCATTAGTCCTCAACATGCAATTCCTTCAAAAGCTGATCGAATGACGCCAACATCCGTTCTTCCACCTACTAAAGCTCTCGCTGATGATAATGAACCTATAAAAAGCAAACATTCGCCTAATTTAATCCAAACAACGAATGACAATGGAAATATTCCTTCTTCCATCTCCGATGTGAAGCAAAATTTATTTAATCAACGAAGTGTTGAGTCACCTAGTGTAATTGACAATCGACAACATCAGATCGTATCTGATGTCATCCTACCCATTGTGACTAAGCAAAGAAAAGATTTGAATAAGAACCTGAACGGCACATTTGTATCTCATATACCAATGATGTCATCATCGAGTTCGTCTTCATCACTTTCAATCCGAACGCCCACTCCGAGTCCAGTCGTCAATGAACCAAAACTTGAGCCTGTTGTGAAGAAAGTCGAAACAGATGAAAGTTCGTAGAGAGAAATTGCAGAAAAGAAAACCTCATTGTTTCTCATTTAGTTGATCTTCGTACACGGCCGATTGTTATTGGACAGGAAACATTAATTGAAATCGATCGAGGACAATTGGGTCTTGGACTTTCAGTCGTTGGCGGTGCCGATACGCAATTGGTAAATTTCGAGCCAGCCTCAGGCTATAAGAATTCAATTATAGTCATATGTCATGTCTCATGACGAGCCCAAGGTTGATTAAGATGAACACAATTAGGAGTCAGATAGTGCATGAGGAAAAGTTGATTTTGAATATAAATAGTGACATTTTGTTTTTTTTTTATTTTAGTCAGGGATAATCATTCATGATATTTATGAAGGTTGTGCTGCTCAACGTGATGGTCGTTTAGTTGTAGGTGATCAAATTCTTGAAGTTAATTCGATTGATCTACGTATTGCGACACATGAAGAAGCGATTCAGGCATTACGACAATCGAAAAATATTGTTCGTATGCTCATCCTACGTGGTGAAGTGGTCAACGAAGAAGATAAATTCGATATTTTAACGGTTGATTTCATGAAGAAAGCCGGCAAAGGACTGGGTAAGCATTTCGATAAACTTTTTCTTTGCAAATTTCTACTGAAATTTATCCATTTAGGTTTCAGTATCATTGGCAGGAGACATGGTCATGGTGTGTTCATTTCTCATATTGTAAGTTGATGATTTCTTTATGAAATGTTCAATAAAACCTGTTGAATTAGATTGAAAATAGTTCGGCGGAAAAAGACGGTCGCCTGATGTCCGGAGATTTGATTCTTGAAGTCAATGGAAAAGATTTACGTACTGCTGCATACGAACAAGTTGCTTACACATTAAAAGTAAATATTGCTTGCTTGTTTCTGCATAAGAAACTGATATTTTCTGTTTAGACTCTCCCTCATGAACGTGTTTTTATCAAAGTTGGCCGATTGAAAGCGAATGCTCGTCAAAACTTCGTTCCCATCGAAACGAACGCTCGTTCTCGTTCACCATCAGCGAATCCACTCATCACGAGATAAAATTTCTTGTTTTTATTTTTCTTTCATAGTCATATACATGGATCAAAGAACACTCTAGTCGTTGACATATCTCTCTTTTCATACAATTGATAAATAAAATTGAAAAATCAAAGGAAATCATCATCGTCCGCGTTTGTCAAACTATTTATACTTCCGAATTTTCTTTGTATTTTTTTCTCTGATCATTGAAATCATCGTTCGACGTGAAGCAAGCCGAAATGTTTATATTTACTACTCGGGTTTTGTCATACTCCGGTTTTTCTTGTTTGTTTTCTCTTCTTGTAGATTTTAACTTATACATCGATAGTAGAAAATTGAAGTGAGGGTGAAAAAGACAAACATATGAGAATATAATCATTGAGCTTTATGTATATAATGCGTGTGGAAGAGTTTATGTGATCTTTATTTTTATTTCAATTGTAGTCTCTCAGTTAATTGACGAATAAATTCTATGCAAATGTGTCAAATTCTTTCAACTAATGTCAAATGCAACGGACACACTCACTTAAACATCACTCGCAGAAACAGAGATGTGATCTTGCAATACATTCGCCTGTAATTATCAGTCGAATTAATACGTTTATTGAGGAACTGTTTCACGAAAGTTACCATTTGAACATCTGTTACTGATTCTTTGTCATCTAATGAAATCATTCGTGAGCAGCTGATGATTAAATAATTGTTACATATACTTGAAAGAGGGCAACTTCTTCTTCTTCTCTTTTTTTTCATCTACACGTATGGTTAGGTAACAGCACCAGTGATTGCTATTGAAGAAAAAGGAGCCTAGTGTTAGTCAATTATCGAATTAGAATGACACCGTACAGTACATAGGACAAGGCCTAGAACGGAAATGAGTATTACATGTTTTTTTTTCTTCTTTCTTATACATCTCAATATTTGACACGAGAAAAGTTCAAAGAACATGCCAAGTCTAATCTCCGTTCTCATCCTATTCGACGCTACATGTCATCACTATGCCTAGTTCAGTTCAATTACTAGAAGCGGCTTATTAAAAAATCTCATTTACTCTATCTGAAGGCATAAAAATCGAGTACCTTGACTTCTCTAATGAATGATGATGTAACGCTGACCTAATAATTCTCTTTCAAGTCCAATGTACTCGTAGAAAAAGATACCATTGGCATTCTAACTAGCAGCATATGTCCAATTGAGACTAAGAAACTATTCTCGCATTCGAACACGTCTATTGTTTGAACCTATATCAACATGCGTTTAGATGGATGTCTTTCAAGAGATGATCGATAACGATTCCTCGGTCAAATCATTCGAATCATAGACCATACCATCTAATGAATAGTAAAGGGAATTTTTCTTCGATTATCGATTGTTAATTATTGTTTTCATTCGTCCAACGGTCATCAGAACGAAAGATCTTTTTACATTCGTGTCCGAGGAATGAAAGTGAAGGCAGAAAGAACGAGAGAGAAGAAAAGAGAAGAGAAGAGAAAAAGAGAGAGAGAATTTCTCTTCTCATATGTCTCATTTCAATAGATAGTCGTTTGACAAGACGTACACACACTTTGTTCAAACAAAATGATTACTTATTGATCGAATTGATACAAAATGCATTCCGCACTCAGGTTCGTGAGCTGAAGAAAGATGCAAAATCACTTCTCAACTTTTGTTTTGTCAATTTAGACCTAAACCTCCTGTCAAATTGCCAACGTCGTTAGTTCCCGTGACTACAACTCATATTAAAAAGCCTTCAGTTACTCCGAATGGACATCATTTCAAATCAGTACCAAGTCATCATCCGAAACGCATTGAATCGAACAGTTCGACACCTGAAAAATGCGTCTGGTCATTAGGTTTGATCAACTCGAAAGGAAAATATTTAACTGCTGAGACTTTCGGATGTAAAATCAATGCGAGTAAGATCCAATTTGTCTCGATTTTTCACGATAATAGCCTTGTTTCTGTAGCTGGTACGTGTTTGAAAAAGAAACAACGTTGGACGATCACATACAGCAGTGAAAACGATTGTATTTACCTTCAATCGTCTCTTCGTCATTATTTATCAACCGACAAATACGGTCGTTTGAAATGTGATACATTCGACGTTGATAATGATTGTCGTTTTCAACTTGAATACAATCGAACTGGTCATTGGGCTTTGAAATCGCTCAGTTATGGAATGTATTTAGGTGGCGACGCTGATCATTTGCATTGTTTTAGTAAATGTCCGGAGTGGTGGTCACCTCATTTAGCGATTCATCCGCAGGTAACAAAGATGCTTCTTTTCTTTCATCAGATTTCGATCGAGTTTGTTCAGATTAACCTCAAACATGTTCTTCGCAAACGTTATGCGAAATTAGATGATGATGAAGTACATATTGATGATATTATTCCTTGGGGTAGTGGAGCGATCCTCACCATTGAATATGTTGATGGTCAATACTGTATTCGGTCGAGCAATGGTCTTTATTTTCATAAAGATGGAAAATTAGTTTCGAAACGCATGGAAGAGACTTTATTTATGATTGAAATTTTCAAAGGTTATTTAACATTTAAAGATTGTGAACAATGTTATTTAACAGCGATTGGCCCATCCGGACTGATGACAACACGAAACAAGGTTGCCGGAAAAGATGAGCAATTTCTGATGGAAGAAAGCAAAGAACAAATATGTTTAATTGCTCCAAATGGAAAACTTGTTTCTATCAAACAAGGCGTTGATCTGTCAGCGAATCAGTGCGAACGTGATCGTAGTAGTATATTTCAATTGGAATATGACGAACAACTCGAAGTTTATCATATCCGAACGTCGAATAATAAGTATTGGAAACTCGAAGGGGGTGGTGTGCAGGCAACAGCAGAGAAGCGGTACGAGTACAATTGAAATTGTTTTTCGTTGTAATACTACGAGTTATAGGTCGATCGAGACGGGCTTTTATATCCAATCGATGAATAATGGGCATATAGTATTTCAAGCATCGAATGGAAAATATATTGTTCCACATCCTACGGGACATATGCGGGCTATAAGCGATCAATTAAACACGAATGAAAGTGGTTTTCTTGTGAAATTCGTCAACCGACCGTTTTGTGTATTGAAATGCGAATTTGGCTATGTGGCTTATCGAAATAAACACTCACGCATACTAGAATGCAATAAATCTATATTTGCATTGTTTACACTCGAGGAATCCAACGATGGAATTGTTTATCTTAAAGGTATGATTGAAGGAAACAGAGTCATTTCAATGTATTATTCATTTTTCGTACAGGTTCTGATGGGAAGTATTGGGAAATCTTAAAAGATTTAACAATCAGTGTGACTGGCGACGATCCGTCGAAGTTCGTTATCGAATTATGTTCTTCTCACTCTCGAATACTTCTCAAAGCGCCTAATGGCATGTATCTCCGCGCTGAACAAAACGGAAGTATTCACGCGACATGTGAATACAGTCGACAAGCTACTCAATGGGATTTTTAAGACTACTGTTACTTTCGTTGTTTCGTTTCTTTTTTGTTCTTTTTCAACAACACAATTAACTATCTGTTGTGATCCTTATGTCAATAGTTCGTTGTTGTATACATATATGTGAAAAGATAGTTCGATTCTTCTGTTAAAATTGTGTACGTAGGCATCATTATCGAATGGAGACATGACTTCTATTCTTTCGTGTGTTTTGTTTGAACAGAGAAATCATCTTGTTCGACTGTGAATAGAACTTCGCATTGTTGTAGTTTACATTTTGACAAATAAATCGAAAGAACAGACGATGATTAGACACACAAATTCGATATCTTGTCAATGGACACAATGTCTACATTTATTTCAAATCACATTGGTTTCGAATTACTTGTGTTAAGATAGAGATGATAGTTATATAGGTTGATTATTCTTATCTGAGAGACACGTGGTCGAAATAAATTTATCGTTTTCTTTTCTGTGTCAGTCTTTCTCTGGAGAACATGACAGCGGCAACGAATTTATCGAAAGCAAATGTTTATGAAAAGGCGTCGCTCTTTTCTGCGCATTGGACTCCAAAGATCATCGGCGAACTTAATGGTCAACATGTGAAATTGGCGAAGTTACTCGGAGAATTCGGCTGGCATTCGCATAAAGATGAAGACGAACTTTTTCTTGTCCTTAAAGGAGAAGTTATCATACAATTGCGAAATAATCAAAATGGAGACATTCATCTTAAAGAAGGCGATATGTTTATCGTTCCAAAGGGTGTTGAACACAATCCAAAGGCGGAAAATGGTGAATGTACGGTGATGTTATTTGAACCGGCATCGACTGTCAATACCGGCGGCGAAAGAAATGATAAAACGCAATTAGATTTACAACGAATTTGATTTTTGCGTTGTGTTTTGCATGCGTTGAATAAAAGAGACCTTTAATATACGAACTTCAAAGCTTAGTGACATCTATTTCTGAAGAAAACGATTCGCTGAAATACTTTCAATGTGTGTATTTGTCGTACTTCTTTCAGCGTCTTCATTTTTACTCGGGAAAACGTACGTATCAGTTCAATTGAACTAGTTGCCTTTTTCAGATGGCTAAAGCAAACGAATCAGCAACGATTGACAAATCAGATAATTCAATTGGTAAATCACCTGCAGAAAGTTCAGTACTTGTCGTTGGTGCCGGTGGTATTGGATGTGAATTGTTAAAATCCTTAGCTTTATGCCGATTCCGTTCGATTGGTGTGATTGACCTCGACACAATTGAAGTTTCAAATTTAAATCGACAATTTCTCTTTCGTCGTGAACACGTTGGCCAACCCAAAGCTACAGTAGCATGTGATAGTATCCGTCGTCTTTGTCCATCAATAAATATCGAACCATTTCATGGTGATGTGATTACCGACCCGCGCTTCGATATTTCGTTCTATAAACGATATGATCTTGTGATCAACGCATTAGATAACGTACAAGCACGACAGCACGTTAATCGAATGTGTTTGTTATGCTCCAAACCTTTAATTGATAGTGGATCAACCGGTTACAATGGTCAAGCAACATTGATTCTTAAAGGTCGTACGCAATGCTATGATTGTATTGAAAAGCCTAAACAACAACGAACATACGCCGTGTGCACGATTCGTAATACACCATCGCAACCAATTCATTGTATTGTCTGGGCAAAATTTCTCTACAATCAACTATTCGGTGATAATGATGATCCGAATAATGAAGATGTTACACCTGATGCTGATGATCCTGAAAATGGTACAAATGGACAAGAGGCAGTGAGTTCGACGACAGAAAATGGACACCATCGAATCTCGACACGTGATTGGATTCAAGCGGAGATGGAAGAATTTCAACCGGTACGAATATTTAACAAATTATTCTTCGATGATATTAATTATTTAACAACAATGAAAAATCTTTGGGAGAAACGGCGACAACCGATTCCAATTCAATACGAACAAGCGCGACAAATTCAAGAAAAAACTCTCAACGGTCAAAGCGATCATGAACAATCGGCAACGCCGAAATTGAATGACCAACGTATTCAATCGATCAATGAGTATGCTCAAATGTTTATCGAGAGTTTAAATGAACTGAAACAACGCTGCGATAAACAACGACAAGCGGCCTCAAGCAGTAAAGAACCCGCCTTTCTTGTTTGGGACAAAAATGATGATGCCGATCTTCGCTTCGTAACTGCCTCAGCTAATTTACGTGCATATATATTTGGTATTAATCTCACTAGTAAATTCGATGTGAAGTCAATGGCTGGAAACATAATTCCTGCCGTTGCGACAACCAATGCCATCGTTGCCGGAATAACAGTTCTCCAAGCGCGAAAAGTTCTCGCAACTTTACCTCGTTCATCAAATGATCATACATTAACTTCAATCAAGCAATTAACAAATGTATTTATTTCAACAGACCGTAAAACCGGAGCGATTATCCAGTCAATTCAATTGGAAGAGCCAAATCCGTCATGCATACAATGCAGTGATCTTGAACAACCGGTTCGTGTACGACTTAACATGTCGTTATTTACCTTACATTCCTTATATGAACGTTTGATACGTAAACATTTGAAAATGAATAAACCGGACGTAATTATTGCCGATGGCAGTGGGAGAATTTTAGTATCAGCTGATGATGACGAAGACGAAGAGATGATGTTGAAAACATTAGATCAATTTAAATTAATTAATGGAACAATTTTACTTTGCGAAGAAGAATATGACGATGAAACTAATGAAGCATTATTACAACATATGAAGATCAAACTAATGTTGGAACATACCGATACGATTACGGATAAAAATGAATATATCATCGTCGATGATCAAGTCATTGGAGAAATTAAGCAAATCAAACAATCGTTGAAACGAAAACATATCGAAGACGATGACGATGATGATGATAACATTCAACACTTAGATGATTACCAAAATGAAATCAATATTGTCAAAAAGACAAAGAAATTATCAACATCGCATGATGAACATAACAATGGACCAATGCATACGAGTTTTGTTATGTTAGTTGATGATCAAGCATCAGCATAAGTAAATCAGCACTCCTAAAATCTAGGTATGGACACGAGACTCATGTGCTTGACCATCGTCAACAAAGCTATTTTCTTCTCGTTTAATTCTATGTATTTCTTTTTTTTTCTCATTTGTTGTAATAAATTGTATACGAAATATATCAATTAGCAAAAACCATTTATTTCGAAACATCGTCTTTCTCTTTGACTGTCTTGTGACGGAGTTCGATGCTAACTAACCCATATTCATTTATAATAGTGCTTATTGGATTGAGAGCAACATTGAAAGTAGTTCTTGCGCTAACAGCACCTTGTAGACGACTTTCGATTCGATCGTTCAGGCTCAAAGATAGTTCGAAAGCATGTATGCGAGGAGATTTATCTGAATTGCAGAGGAATTTAAAAGAAGTGATGATTCGTATTCTTCCATAGTTTCCCATGTCATGATGATCTCATTAAAATCACTTCTAAGACACACTCAACGTGTTTCAGATATTCTTATAATTGACATCGACTTTTATCCAATTTCTTTTCGAGTAACATTTAGCTAATACAACATCGAACGCATTTTGAATTGACGTACCAGTGAGACATAGATTCAGTATATCACCATCGAAACGAGTATAAGTGCATAAATAATTGAAAATCAAGATAATATTTCGATTAAAGAAAAAAAAACATGCTTCTCTTATTGCTGTCATTCGGTACACATAAACACGTGGTTTAGATTGACCTTCTTTTTCTGTTTCCCTCCTCATTTTGTCTTGGAAATATAAACTTCTGTGTCATCTTCGCTAAATTATATTTTCTTAATAAACAAAAATACACGACCAATTTAGTCAGAGGTATTTCAAAAGGTTAGATAGTGTTATAAGAACTACGAAGGATATAACCTAGATATGCGTGTTTGCACTTTGACTCTCTCAGTCAATATTTACTCCACGTATCAAAGCGAACGAAACAACATGAGTCATAGAAGTAAACTGTTTTCGATAATTTCATCAGCTCTTCCCTACGAGGTCGACTATTATGTAGATGTAGAGAAACAGTCGTTTGGTTAAAAAAAGAGACGTTATTTATATAAATATAGGCATAGAAAATGTGTTCTATATCTTGTTGCAGATTTAAGAAAAGAGATAAATGGCTTTTTTTCTGATCGGTGGATCGATCACATTGACGTTGGTGGTTCTTCTTATTCTTCTACTTACTTACTATGTGTAAGCATTTGTTTTCGGTATATTTCTTGTGTTGAAGAGAATATTTTAGTTACAATCTGTGGACGAATAACATCTTTCGTCGATTGGGAATTCCAGCTCCCACGCCAATACCATTTCTTGGTGAAATGTTCCAAATTATGCGAAAAGTAATCAGTTTAGTTGGTCGAAATATATATGCCTGGATGTGTTCTGCTTAGGGCGTGCATAAGAATGATGTAGATCTCTCGAAAAAATACGGGAAAATTGTTGGGTAAGCAATAGTACGATCTATTTCAATACTAAATTAATTTATTGTAGCGTTTTCGAAGGAACAACTCCCATTATTCTCATTTCTGATCCAGAGATTCTTCGAAATGTTCTCATAAAAGATTCTCATGTGTTTGTCAATCGACGAGTAAGAAAATTCACGCTGATTTTTATTTTACTCTCTACTTTGCATTCCACGCAGATAATTGAAGGTGCTGCTGGTGCGCTCGAACATGGACTAACAGTCTTGAAAGATGAACAATGGAAAAATGCTCGATCGATCGTTTCACCTGCATTCTCTAGTGCAAAACTCAAAGCGGTAAGTTTTTCTCTACTGTGTATTATCCCACACTTGTATAAGTGTGTTGCTTTCTCTTGCTGCAGATGTATGGCCTTATAAATGAAATCAGTAATATTTATAATGAACGACTTCTTGAGTACGCGGATAAACAAGAAATATTTGACATTAAAGTGTACGTATTAATTATTTTAATTGAAGTGATAATGTAAGAAGAAATTTTGATTCAACTCAATAGGTTAAATGGGCAGTATACTCTGGACAACATTGCTAGTTGTTTGTTTGGTGTGGAAACCAATTCCTTACAAAATGAAAATGGAGTGTTGATTAAGCATTTGAAGAAGTTCTTCACTGTCAGTTTCGCAAATATATTTCTCATCATCATCTGTAAGTGTATCATGATGAAAATAAGAGTTGGTAGATTTTTCATTTATTTTTACTCGACAAAATTTAGTTTTAGTACCCGGATTAGCCAAATATCTAGGGAAGAAAGGTTATTCTTTCTTACCAAGGGACGCTATGGAGTACACAACTGATCTTGTAAGTCAAGTGCTAAGTCGTCGCCGAGAAGGTCTTGAACGACGAAATGATTTTATTCAAATGATGATTGATCATGAAGAAGAAGTGAAAAACGAAACCGCGACAACGCAAGAAACAGAGGAGCAACATGGAGACGGACATCAGTGGAAAACATTGAAGAAAAGTATGGAGAAACAAGACTGAGATATTTGTTTGATTTATGTGTTTTTAGCTTTGAGTGATAAAGAAATTTTGGCTCAAGCTTTGCTTTTCCTCATAGCTGGCTACGAAACAACAAGTGTGTTAATGTCGTTCTTCTTCTATGTTATGGCCACTCAGCCACAAATTCAAGAGAAAGTCTATGATGAACTCCGGCAAATCGTTGGAGACGTAAATCCTACTTATTTCCAAAATAAATGATATCATACTGCTCAGTATAGGATGAATTGACTTACGAGAAGTTACACGAACTTCACTATTTGGACATGGCCATCAATGAAACACTTCGAATGTATACACCATTCATAAGGTTTGGCTTGTAAAATGTTCTCTCAACGTAAAAATCTGTTTCTATTACAGAACGGATCGTGTCGCGTCTCAAGATTATCAATTGGGCAATTATCTTATACCAAAAGGATCTATCATCAATGCATCGATATATCCTATTCACCATGATTCAAAAATCTGGCCTGACCCGGAAAAGTTCATCCCCGAAAGGTAATAGCACTTGTCCTTGACTGTAAACGTGTTGATAGTCGTGAAGATGATGTGTGATAGATTTTTGCCAAGCGAAAAAGCCAAACGACATCCCGTATCATTTATTCCTTTTGGCGAAGGTCCACGGTAAGAAAGAGAGCTTGTTTCTGTATAGGAATGAAGTATCTGTGTTATAACATGAATAGAAACTGTATTGGAATGCGATTCGCATTGGTGGAAGCTAAACTTGGAATTGCTCAAGCACTTCGAGTAGTGGAATTTCAGAGTTGCGAAAAAACAGAAGTGAGTATCCATGTTCTTAATGTGGAGATTATCGTATAAATGTGATTTATAGATTCCAATAAAATTGGGAAATCTCGGCCTTTTGAACAGTAAAAATGGTATTTTTCTACGGGTCGTTCGACGATCGCAATAAATCCAATGGATAATAGACTCGTTTTTATTACTATATTTTGCTTTTATCCATTAAATATCAGTGGAAAACAACGACTTATTTCGATGTCAGTAGAGCGAATATCTAAAAGTGACTTTATTACATTGTAAGCGACGATTTTTCAAGTCGCTTCAAAAAAACGTTCGTACAAATGTCATCCAATCACATGTATTTGCCTTATAAGGTAACAGAAATCAACAAATATCCTTATATGGAATAGTCAAAGAGGCATCGGGTATTAGTATTCTAGAGGAAAAGTAGATCAATAGTGAGCAAGCGGTATGTATATATCTATAGAATCTTTAGCTAAAACTTAGATACCTAATACAATTACGGCCAGCAATTATCACAACAATGATTTCTTTCATTCTTTGTAATTCATTCTCATTGACACTATTCGTTGTATTTATTCTTGTCCTTGCCTACTATGTGTAAGTAACATGTTCGTCAGATTGATCTGTCTCCACATTAGTTTTTAATCAATACAATTTTAGTTATGATTTGCGCACAAATAATATCTTTCGCCGGCTTGGAATGCCAAGTCCACCACCCATTCCTGTACTGGGTGAAATGTATAATGCCATTAGAAAGGTATATCACGTCATGTCTAATACACCTTCACATACTTCGTGTTCTTGATTCACTCAGGGAATGTATGCTAACGATGTCGATCTTGTTCGAAAGTACGGAAAAGTTATTGGGTAGATAGAGGTTAACTCATCTTCAAAGAAATTTGGATGAATATTTTCATAGTATCCACGAAGGCACTGTTCCAGTTATTCTCTTGTCCGATCCGGATCTCCTTCGAAAGGTTCTCATCAAAGATTCTCATGTGTTTATGAACCGGCGAGTGAGCTTCATTCGGCGATTCCTTTCGAAGTTTTTATCGGTACATCTTTTAGACCTTGGATGGCGCCGGAGGTATACTGGAACATGGCTTGACATCGCTAAAAGATGAACATTGGAAAAATGCCCGATCTATTGTTTCACCGACGTTCTCCACTGCCAAACTTAAATCGGTGCACACTTCACTTTTGCTCTTCTCTCTCTCTCTAACTTTCACAGCTTTTATTCTTCACAGATGTTTGGACTGATGAATGAGGTCAGTGAAATCTACAAAAAACGTCTCCTTGAATATGCTGATAAACAAGAAACATTCGACATCAAACAGTAGGTCAATCTGTTGTTGATTGTAATCATGACTAAGATATCGTAGATTGAATGGTGAATTCACATTGGATAATATTACAACATGTTTATTTGGTGTTCAGACAAATTCATTAGAAGAGGAAAACGGGGCACTCATTGATCATCTAAAGAAATTCTTTTCATTCAGCCTTGCAAATCTATTCCTTCTAATCTTTTGTGAGTGACATCTTTCAAGTACTGAAATTTGCGCACTTCATCGTGTCTTTCTTGAACCAAATAGTTATTTCACCACGATTAGCCCGTCGTTTGGGTAACAACGGCTATTCGGTTATACCCAGAGATACAATAAGGTACCTGACAAACTTGATGAACCAAATACTCGATCGACGTCGACAACATCTTGAACGACGAAATGACTTTATTCAGTTGTTAATTGATCGTGAAGAACAAGTAAAACATGAAGAACAACAGTTTGAAACTAATAAGAAAAGTAACTTGTCAAAGTGAACCTCATTCGATTTCATAATTTGATTTCAGGTTTGTCGAACAATGAGATTCTCGGCCAAGCAGCTGTATTTCTCGTTGCTGGCTATGAAACGACCAGTGTGTTAATGTCATTCTTCTTCTATGTCATGGCCACTCATCCACAAATTCAAGAAAAAGTCTATGATGAGATTCAACAAGTTATTCCAAATGTCAGTAGAACATATCGTGGAGAGAATAATGTGTATAGGAGAGTTTTGTTTAGAACGAAGTAACTTATGAGAAGTTGAGTGAACTTCACTATTTGGATATGGTCATCAGTGAAACACTTCGAATGTATCCGCCATTTACTAGGTAATAATACTCAAAACTTTTCTCTACCAATCGACTTGTAATTCTGGAAGATTCGAGCGTGTTGCATCAACTGACTATCAGCTGGGTGATTATCGCATACCAAAAGGAATAGTCATTAGTGTACCTGTGTATCCTATTCATCACGATCCACAAGTATGGCCGGAGCCAGAGAAGTTCATTCCCGAGAGGTAGTATATGTACTGAGATGAGTTCGACAATAAACTCGAATACTTTGTTTAGATTTTCAACTGAAGAGAAAGGCAAACGAGATGCAATGAGTTATCTTCCATTTGGCGATGGACCACGGTACGAGAATGGATTTTGTTCATGCGTAGAAGTTGTTTCGATTTGTAATTGTAGAAATTGTGTTGGCATGCGATTTGCGTTACTCGAAACAAAACTGGGAATAGTGAAAGCACTGCGCGTAGTGGAAATCGGACGATGTGAGAAGACTGAAGTATGTCGTCGAAATTTTAGTTTCTTATATGAAATAAGTATTTAATTTCTAGATTCCAGTTCAATTGGGTCAAACAACAACTCTATCGCCCAAAAATTGTGTTATAATTCGTGCTGTACGACGATAACAACAGATGAAAATCCTATCAGAGACCTGCAATCTCGTTTACGAAAAACTACTATATTCATTACACTTTCATTTTACTATAAATAAGCATAAGAATACCATTTTGCTTAGAAGTATATTATCAGACACACACTGTAGATGTGACATATGTGAATTTGTAAATATGTCATCGAATTGCACATGGTTGGTTTAGAAGGGGTATAGAAAGAGGAGAAGGACGGAAATGTCAACAAGTATCGCGAGAGGAAAGAAAACATACTGGATGCCTAAATACCAAATGAATCATTGATAAATATAACGCATAAACAGAAAATACTCTCCAAAAAAACAAGCTGTTTTTGTATGAGAACTCTTATTCCGTACTAAAAATGACCTACTTTTTTATTTTTAATTCATTATCATTAACCTTGTTGGTTATATTTACTCTTATTTTCGTCTATTATGTGTAAGTATCGCGTTAAATAGATCTAATTTTTCCGCTATAAGCTCATAAACATTGAATTTCAGGTATAATTTGCGCACAAATAATATCTTTCGTCGACTTGGAATGCCAAGTCCACCACCTATTCCTGTATTGGGCGAACTGTATAATGCCATGAAAAAAGTATTTTATATTATATCTAACACATCCCTTCATCTACTAATTCAAATCGCTTGATTCATTCAGGGAATGTATGCAAATGACCTTGATCTTGTTGGAAAGTATGGCAAAATTATCGGGTAAATAGAAATCGACCCACTTTCATATTATCAAAAATGGATGAATAATATTGTAGTGTTTACGAGGGCAACGCTCCTGTTGTTCTCTTGTCCGATCCGGATCTCCTTCGAAAGGTTCTCATCAAAGATTCACATACCTTTATGAACCGACGGGTAAGTTCTTCTGAATGATCTTTTGAAGAGATGTGCATTTTTTATCTATGTTGTTTTTAGCCATTCGACGGTGCAGCAGGAATTTTGGAACATAGCTTGATAGCTTTAAAAGATGAACATTGGAAAAGTGTACGATCTATTATCTCACCGGCGTTCTCCACTGCCAAACTTAAATCGGTGCACACTTCACTTTTGCTCTTCTCTCTCTAACTTTCACAGCTTTCTTCTTCACAGATATTTGGACTGATGAATGAGGTCAGCGAAATCTACAAAAAACGTCTCCTTGAATATGCTGATAAACAAGAAACATTCGACATCAAACAGTAGGTCAATCTGTTGTTGATTGTAATCATGACTAAGATATCGTAGATTGAATGGTGAATTCACATTGGATAATATTACAACATGTTTGTTTGGCGTTGAAACAAATTCGTTGAGCAATGAAAATGTCGTGTTGATTAAATATTTGAAAAAGTTCTTCGCCTTTAGTCTGGCAAATCTATTTCTCATAGTATTATGTAAGTAACATGAATGGTAATTGAACTGTGCACAATGTTTCTTATGAAACTAGTTATATCGCCGCGGTTGGCAAAATTCTTGGGAGAAAAAGGCTTTTCGATTCTACCACGAGATTCTGTCGAATATACAACAAATATCCTCAATCAAATCCTGGACCGTCGGCGACAACGTGTTGAGCGACGAAATGATTTTATTCAAATGATGATCGATCATGAGGAAGACGTCAAAAACGAAACCGAAGATCAACATGCAGAAGAACATCAGAGGAAAACAACGAAGAAAAGTATGAAGAAACAATGCGCAGATATTTGTTTGATTTGTCAGTTTTAGCCTTGAATGACAAAGAAATACTTGGTCAAACATTTGCATTTCTGTTCGCTGGCTATGAAACGACCAGTGTGCTAATGTCGTTCTTCTTCTATGTCATGGCCACTCAGCCACATATTCAAGAAAAAGTCTATGACGAGATTCAACAAGTTATTGCAAATGTCAGTAGAACATATCGTGGAGCGAATAATGTGTATAGGAGAGTTTTGTTTAGAATGAAGTAACTTATGAGAAGTTGAGTGAACTTCACTATTTGGATATGGTCATCAGTGAAACACTTCGAATGTATCCACCAATATTCAGGTGAATTCGTCTGATACGTTTCTCTTTTCGATATATTTGAAAGTCCTTTAGATTCGAGCGTGTTGCATCGACTGACTATCAACTGGGCGATTATCGCATACCAAAAGGAATAGTCATTAGTGTACCTGTGTATCCTATTCATCACGATCCACAAGTATGGCCGGAGCCAGAAAAGTTCATTCCCGAGAGGTAGTATATGTACTGAGATGAGTTCGACAATAAACTCGAATACTTTGTTTAGATTTTCAACTGAAGAGAAAGGCAAACGAGATGCAATGAGTTATCTTCCATTTGGCGATGGACCACGGTACGACAGTGATCTTCATTTCTGCATAGAGAGTAGATGTCGATTTTCGATTTTAGAAATTGTCTCGGGATGCGATTTGCGCTGCTTGAAGTTAAACTTGGAATTGTGAAAGCATTGCGCGCAGTACAAATCCAACAATGCGAGAAAACGGAAGTAGGTTTTTGTACATTTTTCTGACTTTACATCGAATCTGTGTCATGCTTAGATTCCGATCCAATTGAATCGATCATCGACTCTATCAAGTAAAAATGCTATCTGGATTCGTGCTGTGCGTCGCGTCTGATGCAACGTACACATACAATAAACATTTTTTTGTGAATACGAAATATTTTAGTTTGTGTTAGATTAAAAAAAAGTCTTCGAAATTTTTTTTCTCAGCGACATCATTCAATCGTATCGACGGACATTCGTCGATATGGTCGATATGTTCTCCATCTCTATTTTTGTCCCATGATGAGTCAATCGTTCGCATCGTATTTAGTTTCTTTTCATATTTCGCATTGATATAAACATCATCTATGGCGTATTTTCTTATCGGTGGTTCTATTACACTAACCCTAGTTGTGATCTTCATATCTACTCTAGTATATTATATGTAAATGTTGCTCTGTTTATTGATTGTCTCTAATGTTTTTCTGATTTAGATATTATTTCTTGAAAAATAATGCCAGTCGTCGATTCGGAATACCTGCTCCAACACCCATACCGCTATTCGGTGAACTTTTTCACATTATCTTTAAGGTATTGCATTAATACTGTGTTATTTTTCTCAAACAACTGTCATCAATGTATAATTCCTTCAAAGGGTTTGTATCAGCACGACATGGATCTCGTTCGAAAATATGGCAAACTCGTTGGGTAGGTGAAAATGATTGCAATGACACAAAGCTGTTTTCTTATAGGATATACGAAGGACCAAAGTATACGATATTGTTAAGTGATCCAGAACTTCTTCGTAAAGTTCTGATCAAAGATTCTCATGTGTTCATGAATCGACGAGTCAGTAGTTGATAAAACATTCAGACATTGACTATGCTCAAAGTTTTCTTTTCTACGTTAGTCCGTTGAAGGCGTTCTGGGCCCGTTCGATCATGGTCTTACCCAATTGAAAGATGAACATTGGAAAAACGCGCGCGCTATTGTTTCACCAACATTCTCATCAGCGAAACTCAAAGCAGTAATTAACCTGTCTCCGTACTATTCTTGATTTGTACACCTTTTTTCGTAGATGTACGGCCTAATGAGTGAAGTGAGTGATATGTACAATACACGTTTGCTTGATTTGGCCGATAAACAAGAAATGTTTAACATCAAAGAGTAAGTTGAATAGAAAACGATCTTTATCAAACATATCAATAAATTTCTTTTAGGCTTACACAAGAATTCACACTTGACTCGATTGGCTCGTGTTTATTCGGCGTTGAAATCAATTCCTTACAAAACGAAAATGGAGCTCTGGTTAAACATCTCAAACAAATCTTTGGATTGAGTTTAGCTAATCTCATGGTCATCATTTTCTGTAAGCTGACTTCTTGAATATCCATATGTTTTGTTCACTATTGATGACCAGTGATTTCGCCACGTTTCGCTCGGTATTTGGGTGCAAAAGGTTATTCGATATTGCCAAAAGACACGGTGGACTATTTAACTCGATTATTGAATCAAATATTAGATCGTCGCCGACAACATGTTGAACGACGGAACGATTTCATTCAAATTATGGTTGATCATGAAGAGGAAATGGAACATAACGAACAACAAGCGGGCACATTGACAAAAAGTCAAATATTCTTCTTTATTAGAGTATTAATCTAGAATATTGTTTTGTAGCTTTGAATGATAAAGAAATCCTCGGGCAAGCACTGATCTTTTTACTTGCTGGATATGAAACCACAAGTATACTGATGTCATTCTTCTTCTATGTCATGGCGACAGAACCAGAAGTTCAAGAACGAGTTTACAATGAAATTCAACAAGAGATTGGCGACGTATGTTGAGTTTAGAACAGGAAACGTTTGTTGTAAATGTTATTTGTATTTAGAATGAGATTACGTATGAAAAGTTGAATGAACTACACTATTTGGACATGGCGGTTAGTGAAACACTTCGTATGTACCCACCAGTTATTAGGTCAGTTGAATTGACTACGAGTTATTCCGGGTTTACTCATGCATAATTTGCATAGATTTGATCGTGTTGCTGGCGCTGATTATAAACTAGGTGATTATCAAGTATTGAAGGATACTCTTATCAATATTCCAGTTTATGCAATTCATCATGATCCAACGGTTTATCCTGATCCAGAAAAGTTCATGCCTGAAAGGTACGTTTCTATCTAAGGATGGATTAATAATGAGCTTTAATCATTTGGATAGATTTTCTGTCAATGAGAGATCTAAGCGGGATCCTCTGACTTATCTTCCATTTGGTGATGGTCCTCGGTGAGTTACAGAACATTTTTCTCGTTTGAAAAAAAACAAAAGATTATGTATAGGAACTGTATTGGCATGCGGTTTGCCTTATTGGAAGCGAAACTTGCAATAGCGAAAGCACTGCGTGTCGTTGAAATTCAACGATGTGAGAAAACACAGGTAACGAGATCATTTTCTATTTTTTCATATTAGTCTTAGTTGTTAATTATAGGTTCCGCTAAAACTCAACAAATTGAAAACATTGGCTCCGAAAGAAGGTATCTGGCTATGTGTAACTCGTCGATCACAATAAAAACTATTTTTGCTTCATCAATCGTGTGATCTTTTGGATTAAATAGATTTGTTTTCAGAACTTTAAAATACCTACTTTTCAACAGTACTTCTCCGTATTGAATTTAACGAATTCATTCAATACGAGAAAATATCGTTGAAGCACAATACTTATCATCGATTTACTGCTGTTCTTGTTGTAAATTCCTCATAATTTTTTCGTTCACCTGTATATCAGAGGATCATTGAGAACAAAATCATCATTCACCATTTCAATAGTTTTCGAGATCTACGGAATAATAGTAGATGTTATAATTGAATGAAATCTATACTTACTGTAAGATTTGGGTGGTTACAATCCTATTCGTATATTCCGAATGTGTCTGTAACTAAAATAACTATTAGGATTGTCTTCGCTCAATAGACGAAACTCAACTTGTTTATTCGAAATGATACGAAAAAGAATGTGTCATGATATCAACAGAAAAAGACCAAGAGGAGGATGTGCAGACATGTATACGTACATTCCTGTAACAATAACATTCAGGAAGGGAGCAACAAACTTTCTTACTGTCAATTCTATCAGCCGAATAAATGAGAAAAAACAATAAAACAGCCAAACGATAACTATCGTACTTACTATTCTCATCATATTGTCGAATCAACTTTTTTTGTTATCAACTATCTATTTGAAAGAGACCAAAATGCTTCAAGTGTCGAATAGATAAGACTTATTTGTAAATATATTTCGTCATCTACGGAAAATATCCAAGCCATGACGCAAAGAATGTCGTTCAAAAACGTAGTTTTAATCCCAGCGCTTCAATTCCAATATAAATAGCGCAGGTTCCATGGAATACAACATTCCTACAAAATAAATACTTTTTAGGTTAACTGACCTCAAATCGACGTCACAAGCTCTTATTCAAGGGTAAGTCTAATTTACGTTAGACTAGGCTGGACTTCATTGAGTTTCGTGAAATTTGAGATATAGACGGTGACATTTTGTAAAACTGTATGCCGAACTTATTTTAGTTTTCACTAATTCTTCTGCTCATTTTTCGTTACTACACATACGCACATGAGTACTTCAATTTCGTTTGTGATGTAGTCAACATTATTCTCCACCTTTTCGTTTCGTAGCACAAACATAAAAACTAATTAGACAAAGAAGGCAAATGTTTCATGTAGGTTTTGTATGTTTGAGTGTTTATTGGGAAAACAAACAGTAACATGATGAACGAAAACAAAAGAAGACCACACATCATGTTCTTGTGATGAAACATGGTAGAAACCAAACAGTCTACAGTCTAATATACTTTATAATGGAAGTATCTTAAAATTTCATAAATGATGGTTAATGCTTCTTTGCTTCCAATTATTCTTCTCCTGTCGTTTATTTATTAAATACGAGCCAAAAATTTTTATTAATAGAATAATGAAATACTGATCGCAAATAAATCAATTATGTAGATATTCGACGATTCATAGCTTTTGAAAAATCATTACAAATGGCACAACGACAAAACCACGGTGGTAATCATTTTGTGCCCAATGCTCATGGCGGAAGAAATGGCAATGGATTTATGCGAAGAGCCCGGGCAGTTCATAGTGAGAAAATCTGACTGATTGTTTTCATTGCATACATCGAAAAATGCTTCCAGATAGACTCAATACACCTCTTCATCCAAGTTTAGACGGAAAAGGCATTGATGTGGACATTCCCGACTTTGTAGATCGATGTGAAAATGGAAATGGATTCAAAGTAGGCGCAGAGATGACTGGTAAGATTTACTTAAGAGAACTTTGGATAATATCAGCTGCGAACTGATGACAATTCTGCAGATTCTGTTTTTTAATCTTTTTTCAGGTCCACGAACCATCAAAGAGGAAGATCGAGTAGGAATTTCTATTTGGCAAGCACATGGTTGTCCGCATGAAAATTTTGGTACTGCTCATGACTTGGGAAGACTCGAGGGTGCCATAGATGGTGTGGGGGTTAGATACGAAGCTTGTGGATTGGCATCAAATATAGCAGTTGGTCCGATTGATGTAACCTTATTATATAAATGTCAGCAGTTATCATTGAAATTCTGTTTTATTTTAGATAGGTGCAAAGGTTGGAACGGCAGAGTTAGGTGGAAAGGTTTGGGAACCTGGCGTGGGTCTCGATGCTGGATTTAAAGCTAATGCGAGTGCTTTAGAATTGCGTGGTGGTCCTGTCACTGCTAATTTGGGTGTGGGATGTAAGTTGCTCGATTTCTTTGAACAATTCTCTTAAAACTACTTTCAGATGATACCGGTGTGAAGATCGGAAAGGAGGGTGTTGGAGTAGAAGTTCTCGGTACGGGTGTTCAAATTGGCCGTACTACTAAGGTCTCCTTATTTGGATCAAGCTTTTCACTCAAGTTATGGTGACGTTTCTTTTTTCGCCAAGACTTTAATCATTTTCATATCGTTTTTCCTTAACGATAAACCTTGTGAATCAATAATTATTTTCTTTTTGATTTGTATCACCATTTCTTTTCTTGTCTATAAAGTTTGATGATATTTATGCAAGATAAATCGATTTGATATCAAGAGTGTTGGTTATTGTGTCAAATCGGACTTGAAAAATATACCTTAAGAACTCTTTCAAAAGTATAACTATTCCATGACCGATTTCAAATCCTGATTGTATTTCTCCTTTTATTATTTGTTACAGAACTCAATCAAACTCGATTGACAGGAATCATTTATTTTGAGATAAACTGCTCAACATTATATGACAGGTTTACGAAGATATTGTATTGAAATATATTCTTTTAATAAAAAGATTGACACGTATATCGTTTTTATTGTCAACAGTGTAGGCTAACAAGTCTAAAGCGAGATGTATTACATAAATACGCCTATATTTGTGATAGTTTATCTGTCAATGTGAAAAGTTCGAGCAAATGTGGAACTGGATAAGCTTATTACTTCTTTATAAATTGAACTTCGGCGATGTTCATTGTAATATCATCTTGTATAACACAGATTATAGTCAACCAAATGAAAAATTCGATTGTCTGTATTTTCTATCGGAAGACGGGCAGAACATCCCGTTTTGTCAACGCCCTGATGCTCCCCAAAGACTCAATCGAAATTCTGCCCAATGTGAAAATGAAGGTGAAGCACATTCTTTTCGATCTTTACTTGATAATCATACAGATCCAAGTGATTTACTACGTTGGAATTCGAGTATTGAAATGGTTGATATGTACGCAAATGTATTCTATAATCATTCATTCATGCGAACAAATCTCAGTGACGTGTTGTTCATTTGCAAGTGTATCAAACCGGGAACATTCGGTAAACATTGTGAATATGAATTGCCAATAGCAGAGTTGTCATTTGCTGAAACAGTTATATTTGAATATATGGCGAAACAAGTTGATCAACGCTATACTCAACTATACGGAAAAATTCTTTGCTATGATACGTTGAATTGCAGTTCAGGTATAAGCTTTGTCTGGATTGGCGAGATATAAACGATGGTAAACAACGATGCTTGGATGGCCTTGATGAGGAGAATTGGGACAAATTGGAATTCAACGAATGTGAAGATGATGAATTTCGGTGTGGTAATGGTATGTGTATTCCACTGGAATTCTGGCTTGATGGTGAGTAATTTTTGACTTTCAAATCACTTTCTCACAGCGATTGCCATTCTAGGTGACTATGATTGTATGGATTGGACCGATGAGATGCCTTTTGATGATTATAATGGAGATGTATGTCGTTTCGCGCCTAATCCAATGCTCTGTGATGAGCATATATGTCAACACGATTGGTTTTCATGTGGAGACGGACAATGCATTTTAGGACTATTTCGAATCGCATTTGATTCAGACTTTTCGCATTACAGTCCTGGTTGCTACAATAAACGTCATTTAAATTATATGTGTGAGGTGAATACATCTCGACCTGCCTGGACACTCGAAAGTGGACTGTGTTTGATTGATCAACCTTACAATGATTCTCGATATCCGCCGTGGAATATGATGAATTTATCAAGATTGTCATCCGAGGAGATATGCGAATATTTATTACGATGTATTTTATCTGATAATTTTGAAGCTGATTGTCCGTGTCAGTCTCGTAATTGTACAGAATTGATGATGGATGTTTGTCTGTCGAATGATGGACTTGTTCCTTATCCTCCGGCAGGGTTAATTAATCCAAATTTAGCTTTCTATTATGACTATCGTCAATTGTCAACTGATCGACGTGTTAAAATAATGGAATTCAGTGGAAGTCTCAAATGTCAAGGATATCACTTTCAAAGTCATACGACTATTCGTGAAAATTATCGGATTGGCCGATTGCTGAATCCTCGCATTTATCATACACTCTGCATGGCCCACAGTTCGAATACAGGATTTCGAAACGTTACGTCACCTCTCAAATTCGACGAATTCTGCTGGAATGAATCTCTCACATTCAATGGGCGTCCATACCGAGTGAATTCCGAAGTGTGTCAGAACACAGGTGAATGCATTTCACAATATCGAATTCATGATGGTCATGATGATTGTATTAACGAACAAGACGAAAATACATATTTCAACGTTAGTTATTGCACAGGAAACGTCGGAAAACATCGTTTTCAATGTTTTAACAGTGAACATCAATGTCTTATGTTATCTTCGATAGGAACAAATAGATATAAATGTTCAAACAATTATGATGTATTATGGTATGGGAATGGATTATCACTTTCACAGATATCGAAATGTTCGAAGAAAACGACTTCTGATTGTGCTCGTTTGAAGGAATATGTTATACAATCATCTCAAGCCACTCTATTTAATAACTTATCGATTGTTAATGAGCGGGAAGATATGACAGCGGAGCTCGTACATTTTCGGTTATATTGCGATACGTTTTGGCATTTACCACATCAGCTGGATGAACTGACTTCTTCGTGTAAACACTGGATTTGTTCGGAAGATCAGTATCAATGTCAAACAGGACAATGTATTGACATTGATTGGGTGTGTGATGGCGAGTGGGATTGTTCGGATGCATCGGATGAAGAAGCGATGATTGGTATTAAAAACTTCTCGGATCATAATGCACGACTCTTAAAATCGAATCCTCGACATGAGGATTGTAAGAAAAAATACGCTTCGCGACCATTCTCTTCACTTTGTAACACTGAATATCAGCTCGGATGTTACAAAGCTGAAGTCTCGAATCCATCGAATGTTACAACATATACTCCATGTATTAATTATACTCAAATCGGTGATAATGTAGAAGATTGTTATCAAGGTTACGATGAAAAAAATACAATTGTTGTAATGAATACAGTTGAAACTATGCTTGGTTTTCATCTTCGTTGTCCAAATAATGATATTAGACCGTATCTAAGTGTTATAAATGGACCGATGGTGAACAATTGTACTGAAATCGTTCGATCGGATTACCGGGACGTGAATGGAACGTGTTCGGAGCCGAAAGATATCATTTGTCTAGGAGACAACAGTTGTAGGAGAAACGCACGATGTAATGGATCGACAGAATGTCTCTATGGAGAAGATGAGTACTGGTGCCCACTAAGTAATCCACCCTCAAATCTTCTTCGATATCGTTATGAAAAAGAAATGTCGAAAGGACCAGCGCGTATTTATACTCCTTACTATCCAGTTGATATTCCCATAGAACTAAAGGAAAAACAAACATTAGAGACGAATATAAAAAGCGTTGCAGCGAAACCGATTCCTTTTTCAGCCTATTATGTGTGCAATCGAGGTGTGTTCGTTCATTATTACAGTGATCCGGTGTGTTTATGCCCACCAGCTTATTATGGTCAATGGTGTGAATTTTTCAGCGATCGAATCAGTATTATAGCACGAGTCGATATAAAAACTTTACCAAAAATCATATCGAACACAACATTCAAAGTCAGAACTAATCTCTTATTTAATGATCAAGTTATCGATTATCAGGAATTCACCGTTATTCCAACAATTGATAAACTGAAGCATCAATTTTATCTACTTTATTCACGTGTTAACCATATGAGGGAACACAAACGAAAAAGATACTTTAATCGAACTGATATTATAAATAATCATCCATATTGTGTACATTTCGACGTTCTTACTCTTGAAAATGAAGACAGGCTGAAAGAACTTGGTTCATGGCATTATCCAATCTACTTCGACTATTTACCTTCGTTCCGTTTAGCCGTTGTACTGAAATTTCCCACATGGTTTGGTAATACAACATATAATCCATGTGTAGACCATAAATGCAATCCAAATTCTGTCTGTATGCCGATTTTCAACAGAAATTATTCTTACTACTGTTCATGTAACAGTGGTTACTATGGTATTAATTGTGATACGTATGAAAATCAATGCGATGATTACTGTTCTCCTAATGCATTGTGTCGTCGACATGCTCACATACAAAATGGAAGAAATAATGTATTTTGTATATGCCCATTGGGTCAATTCGGTCCACGCTGTAGTTTCAAATATGATCCTTGCACTTCAAATCCTTGTTTGAACAATGGATCCTGCCTGTCTACACATATTCTGGTTGGAGATAAACATACGCCCTATTTGTGTGACTGTTCAGAGGGATGGTCTGGAAATCAATGTGAACATACGTTAATTCAGATTCGTATTGACTTAAATATCACGGATGTGAGGTCCGTGCGTGCAACTGTTGTTCAGTTTTATGATTTCGGCATATCACTAGCATTGGAAATTCGGCACCAACTAGCTTATAGTGGACTGCCATCGACTATCCGTTATGATCATCCGGGTATCTATGCACCAGTTTTGGCATTCATGAAAACTTATGGTCAATCCCACATTCCATCATATTATGTGGTATATAGTCTTCCTAAGCGAACGCGGATTAATATAACATCCTCTCCGATTCATTGTCCGCATGTCTCATCATTATTATTGGAAAAAGGTAAGTTCACAACAAACAATGTAGTTTTACTATGAACAGTTCTTTTCTTCTGACACACATAGATTCATTAGTTCCGTCGGTTTTTAAGTATCATGAACTTTGTAGGAACCATAGTGACTACACATGCTTTCATGACGAAGTTTATTTGTGTATATGTCGAGGTCGACTTGATAGTGGTGCTGAATGTTTTCTTCATGACACTCAACTAGATCAATGTGATCGATGTCTATCAGGTGGACAGTGTATTCGAGGAGATCTTAACAGGCCAGACGACTTTCTTTGTCTGTGTCCTTCGTGTTACGAGGGAACTGTTTGCGAATTTAATTTGAATCCATTCGGCTTTACGCTCGATTCACTACTGGTCGGTTATTCGACAGAAGTCAAGGTAATCTATATGATTCTGGCTCTGCTAATCTTTATGATTGGCTTTTTCAATAATTTCTGCTCGTTTATCACATTCAAACGAGCAGTACCTCGAAAATTTCCTGTGGGTAACTATTTACTGCTTGTTACGTGTCTCAATCAAACCGATCTCTTTTGTTTACTTTTCAAATTTATTGAAATAACGTTTCAAATCTCCGGTTTGGCATCCTGCAAAGCAATTTCTTATGTATTTTCAGTCTTAACACGATCAGTCTATTGGTTAATAAGTTGGGTAACTGTCAATCGACTTTGTTTGATCATATTTCCTACGTCAACCTTTTTGAAAAACACTCGCTACTCCATCGCAATTAGTTTCATCATATTCACCATCCTTCTTCTTGTCCATATTCATGAAATCATTTCATATACAATGATTAAACATATTCCTACAAATTCCTCGTTATGTGTCACAAATTTTGATACTCATCTGGTTTCTACCTACAATAGAATCTCGACTTTGATTCATCATTTCCTCCCGTTCTTGATTCAAGTCACTTCAGTTACGTTTCTCATTGTTCTTACTACACGCAGTCGAATCAAAGCAGCTGAAAGCAAGACACCACTTCGACAAGTTTTAAACAAGCAATTCTCGACCCAAAAAGAACTTTATATAACTCCAATAATTATCGTACTTTCGGCTCTACCTCAAACTATTTTAGCATTCATTTTGGCTTGTACTCAATTAAATAATTGGCAACGGCATGCATTACTTGGAGCTTATTTGATATCCCAATTGCCACAAATTCTGGGCTTCATTCTTTACGTTTTACCATCATCCATATACAAGAAGGAATTTTCTCAAACGTGTGTTGCTAAAAACTGTCTCAAGTGTATTTCTAATTAGAAGAAAAACATTGATAATGAAAACTGATATTGATTTTTTCATGTGATCTCGCTGAGTCATTTGCAAGTTGTCTGAAAAAAGCTTGAAAGTGAAAACCTTCACATATTAAATGTCCTATCCTGCTTTATGTGTTACAGAATTTACGTATATGCAGTAGGGTGCAAAAGTCATTGCTCCTTATATAATGGATCACCCTTCTGAAATCAGATCTCGAACATTTTTCTTGGACTTTTTAAGATAACTTCATCAGAAATACGAGCAAGTCAAAATGTATCTATTTAAAAGAAAAATTATCAAAAAAGGTCTTCGGTTGGAAAGACAAAACTTTTACGATTAAACCTCACCTCATCAAAAACCGAAGGACAATCTTATTTAAAGTATCAACATGAAAATATTATCAAAAAGACTATCTGCAGAAAGCTTTTCGTCCGAACTGTATATTTCTTCAACTGACTGACTGACAACGATGGGATTTCTAGGGCTGAAAGGGTACATTAACCTAACAAAGACGATGAGGTCGTCAAATTACACTCCACTAAGTGGATGTGAATTCTCTTAAAAAACCGCCTAATCTGTCGTAAAACCTCATGTTGAGGAAAGAAATTATCAAAGCTGTACAATTTGGTATATTTTCTTGTGAGATGTGTGGAAAACCTAGTTGAGTTCTCCTAAGTGATTTGATCCAGTCGGTAGAAATTAAGTATTTGCGTTCGGACCACCGAAAGAGAAATATAATCAAATATTTTTTACCACTTTTGAAGCTTGAACTAAGCTATGTATATGGATATAATGCATTATTTTAGCTGACATACACATGCAAAGAGTTACGTCCAACATCAAGGGCAAAAACTTTGGCATCCGGCTGTAAATATGAATGTTTTAGCTATATTTTCGTATGAAATTCAAACGGAGAGAGTGAATGATAATATAATAGTGGTTTTTAGATTGTTACAATCCATTCAGATGTCAGAAAAATGCCGTTAAAGTGCAATGTAGTTTCTCTTTTAGTTGCAGTATATTTGGACCATCGATAAATGACAGTGAGCATATGTCAGATGGGGGTTTTCCAGTTTATCATTATCTTTTTATCACCTTGATGTATAAAGTGAACTTCGAACATGAGTTAAGAAATCGAAAGAAAGAGGTAACATAGCGCAACGAATAAAAAATGTATCAATAGTATTATTTGATTACATATCGGGACGAGAACATTTGTTTGACTCATGTATGTAAGAATAGGGAAAAACGAATGACTTCATAGACTATAAATCGCTTGAATGACTCGCTTGTTTTATCTATAAAACAACGTCCGTATCAATCAATATTGTTATTATCGAATGAAGTCACCAACACACACTGTAGGTATTCCTGCTGATCCTCTCATACAAGTTGGAGAGGTTAGTGCGGGACCAGTCACTGCTAGTTTGGGCTTAGGACGTAAGTGACTGCATTTCTCTGAATGTTTTATCTTGAAATCTGTTTTAATTTAGTCGATACTAGTGTAAAGGTCGGACAAGATAGTGTTTCAGTAAATGTGCTCGGTACGGGTATTCAAATCGGTCGTATCATAAAGATCTCCTTATTCGGATCGACAATTGCAGTCAAAATCCCTTAATGTACTTTAAAATTCTTAAACTCTTCAGTTCGAATACTATAGATGAAATGTTGTTATTTCTATACGATTTTTAATCTTCTTTTTATCTTTATTTTTTTACCATAATAAATAAAATCAATACTTTCGTGCCTATTTAATTCATAAATCATCTTCGTGATTTTATCGTTACGGAATTCGTTTCAAGATTCACATTTCTATCACAAAATTCGATAGGGCGACACAACATTGCAGTGACCTCTGACCTGTTTGCTTCATTACTGGTTCAATAACAATCCATTCAAAGAACAGAACGAGAATAAGTACATACAATGTAAATAAATCTCAATCTATCTTAACTGGCATACTTCCATATCTCTCAAATATGATCCGTTTTATTCTTATTCAAAATCGAGCTGGCAAAACTCGTCTTGCTAAATGGTATAGCCATTTTTAATAAAGTTCTATAAACCTCGTTTCTTGTTCATGTTTTAGGTTTATGAACTTCCACGATGACGAAAAACAAAAGTTAATCGAAGAAGTTCATGCTTTAGTCACTGTCCGAGATGCCAAACATACGAAGTGAGTCATACTTTCTAATCATTATCATCACACTNTGGATTGGAGTAATTCCAACAGTTTGTGTACGCTGTTGAAGCAACAGCAGCGGCTGCCGTTGGATGATGGTGATGATGTGGCATGTGAACAGCAGAGGTCGTTGCTGCTGCGGAACTTAATGCTGTCCATTTGAAATACGCGGCATGAGATGAACGCATCATTTCTTGTTGATATTTCGTGTAAGGCGATTCAGGCAATTGAGGTTGATTTAATTGATGTAGACCATTGAAGTCAAATTTATATGCGTAGCGTTTACCGTGAACTTTCGTCATGATATTTTTATCGTAATAGTAACGTAATGCACGAGATAATTTATCGTAATTCATATTTGGTTTGGATTTCCGTTCTCCCCAACGACGTGCGACTTCATCAGGATCGATTAATTTGAATTCACCATTTGAACCTTCCCAGGCGATGATATTCGAGTTTGTATTAGCATCGGATAATAGTTCAAGAAGAAATTGCCATAACTGTATTTGACCTGTACCTAGAATAGACAATTTTCTAAGTGTGTGTTTTCTTAGATCAATCGACTTACCGGCTGCTCCACTACCAAATCGGTGTGAATTGTGTGGAAAAAAAGATTGACTAGAAAATGTTGAGTAAGAATCTAAAAGTATCGAACTCATTCAGTAACTTTTTATTTAAAAATAATTCAACTTACCTCTCAATCCATGTGACGATTCCGATTTGACTGCAGATGACCAGGAAGATGACTGTTGTTGTTGTTGGTGTTGTTGTTGACCCGTATTTGAATTGGAATCATTGACCGCATTTCCGCGTCCTGATCCATTTTCATAATCATGCTTGAGTCGAGAGTCTCCACCGGCATTTGTTGACGATGCTGACGACGAAGTCGACGATGGCGTAGCTGTTGTATGATAACCAACTAAAATCATATGGAAATAAAAACGAGTTTTCTACTGAATAAAACATCTGGCCATGATAAGTAAAAGTACGTCAATATCTCGTTTATTTGCTCGATAATCTACTCTCAACACTTGAAACTAAACTAAACATTAGAGATAAATACGATTTTTGTGCTCAAATATTTTTCTTTCATGATGTTCGGAACAAATTACAAAGAAATCGAAGAACACTTACAACTATTGGAAATATTCGAGATCGAGTCGTTAAGACCTAACGATGTCCATGCGTGTTTGGATGATTCTATAAAATAAGATTTATTTATATGAAAATATTAGATTGGGATGCAGCTTGTCATCGGCTATAGAAAAGAAGTTGTTCGGAAGTATAGCGAGACGAATCGATGCTATCGTTTTTTTTCTTCTGCATTTTCTTTTTCTTCTTCTTGTTTTTTTTTTGAAAACGGAAAAACTTCGATTCCTGTTCGTGCGTTGATGAACACATCGACTAAGTCGAAGGCGGACGGAAATCTTGGCTTCCTCACACTGAATGAGTCGCTTACCAGTGAGCATGATGTGTTGATGTTGTTATACGTATGTATAGATATGTCGTTGAAGAACGAACGAGAAAAAGAGGACGCCTTTAAGTCCCGGACTTCCTTAAAATCGTGTCGACGACCGACAGAGAAAAAAGAAAAACTTTTCACGGAAATGCAATGGCCGATTAAGAGAGATTCAATCTCCGTTGTCACTGCCGTTTGATTTCTTCTTGTGGAAGTTGACGACAACGTTCAAGTAGTAATGACGAATGAGGAGCAGAAGGAAGCAGGAACTGAGCCTTTTCCGTCTCTCTCGCTCTTTTTTTCTCGCTCTCTTTTCTCTCATAGAAAAAAAATCATTTCATCAATCTCTGCGCATGTCTGCACATCCAATGAAAAATTTTCACCAATCATAATGATTCTCTTCCTCGTTCTGATTAATCTATCACCGAGCTCACATATTCGTTCTCTTCTCTTTCTTCTCCTCTTCAACGCACAAAAACGACGATTGGATGAAGACAGATTCTTTATCGATTGAAAAACAATAAATGACAAGGTTTTACGTGAGAAGATTTTTTGAGTTTGAATAAATTTATTCCTAATCAAATTCAATCTGATCATGTCCGAGCGAACTTCTTTTGTTCATTTATTTTGACGACAACGGAAGTAACTGTCTCCTAGCTTTTTTCCTCTGTGCTCACATTATCTATTCTTTTGCCTGGCAAAGTTCAAGCATCAATAGTTATTTCCTGAAAAAAAATTGACTGCGCACTGTGTTCCTCTCTCTCGCTCTCTAGCTATTACATATCTGCTAGCATGTTTGGAAATATAGACAAAAAAGTCTCTCTGCGTGCGAATACATCAAGAAAATTGATTTCCGACATCAACGTAATGTAGTCTATTAGAGTCCGATGGATGTAATGGAATCTCGCAGATGAGTGAGAAACGAAGAACACATTTTTTAGTCAATATTAGAAGAAAACAAAATGTAAATTAACAAGGTGGAAGAATGAATGATGTTTCTAGACTGCATACGAAATGAGAAACATTTCCGTTGATGTTAGTGAAGAAGCTTTCTGACTTGTGTGTTGAATGTCAATAAACATCTTTTCTTTTCTGTTAATTATTCAAGACAAATTTTAATATCGAAGTTTTTATTCTTCTCTCTCTCTCTCTCTCTCAATCTTTCCCTTTTGATTTAATTAACTTTCAGTTTTTTCCTCAGCTATCGACATGAATATTTGATTTATCATCCAATGTACACAAACAAACACACAAATGCACATATATCAGTTAATCGTCTTTCGTTTCTTTTTCAATTGCATAATCAACATTGCTATCGATCATTATTATCGATATCACGTTGGGATGAGAACTGCCCAACCCATCAAATATTAGTTTCCTGCGCACACGCGATCACGCAGGTGATTTATTTTTCGAATGCTCGGACTAATTAGCTTGGCTATGTGTTTTCTGATAATAATGATGATGATGATGATTTTCTTCTTGAGAATGAAAAGACGTTTGATCTGTGGGAGAAATAATAGGCCTTATTCTTCTTCTTCTTTGTTGTTCGATAGAGGAAATACCTTTACATTCAAGTGTAAATAATGCCCTATTAAAAATTCGCTTCGATGAATAAAGAGAAAGACATGATTAGGGCACGTGTTGAGAAGTTTTTTTTCTTTTCGAAGAAGACAAAGGTGCGCGTGCGAGCGAGCGGCGAATAAATACTAAATTGCTCTTGCATCACGGCTGATTGACAGACGACGACGACGACAACGACAACAATATTGTTCGTTGATGAACAACACGCATTAATCGATTTCTGTCAGGTCAACTGAACACCACAGGCGGTCAGCATATATTTCCACTGATGAGTTCGATTTCCGAGGACTTGATCAGCACGTGCATTGATCTATTTGATGAACAAGACGAAGCAGATGCCGACAACGAAACGGAAATCCAATATGAAAGACTTTTTGACAAAATTTCTCGTGTCGTATCACGTTCAGCAGATGATTCCTGATAAGTCACTTTGTCTATTCTATGAATAGAACAGCCTGAAGTAAAAACGGAAGGTGGAATAGATCTGATTTGATTATTAGCAATAGCATTCAAACTGTTCATTTTATTCATTGATTTGTTTAGAGCAGTCGACCGAAAGAATAAGAAACTCCGCCTTTCTCTGCTTTAGAATGTCGAAGACAAAAATGAATGCAATCATACGGAATGTCTTATCATCTGCTGATGCTAATGAAACTTATCAGTCGAAGGGAAAAGTGAGAGCTAATTGAGTTTCGTTGATGATATGAGTATGTGACACGACGAACGAGAGAGAGAGAGAGGGATTGAAAACTGAATGTGATTTCGAAAGAGGAAATCGACCGGTCAGATCAAATGAAAACAGGGACGTTTGATCGGTGCATTGAGAATTTTTTTGTGTCATTTTACTGAATCAACAACACGTTAACTGCGTTTTTTCATTCGTTGTTCGACAAAATGTGTGAAAATACATTAGATAAAATAAGAAGAAAAGGACGAAACGAAAGACATTCTTAGTTCAATATTATTTTGCTCAATCGTGTTGATCGTCTTATGACACCAATGATCCACGACGATGACGACAGCCTGCCTGTCTGTCTGTCTCTATCCATCATGAAGAATAAATGTACATTGACATAGACGTGTGACTACCGGTGTTCGCTCACAAATGAACATAAACACACACACACATACACTTAACTGAAAATGCGATTATTTGGAAAGTAAATATAAGAACGTCATAAGTGAAAAGAATCAATAATCAAATGAAACAAGTTTTTCTTTTAACAGAAACATGTGAAAGATGATTTTAGGTTTGGACAGATCAGTTGTATTGAAATTTATTGTAGTGTTTTTCAGTGACATCGATGCATCGAAGAAGATTCAATCGATAATTGTTTCGAGAAAGGCTTTTGATTGAATCATATGAATATCACTTGAAGCCATGCTGTAAAGACTACCATATACAGTATAATAACTCAGCGATTTGTCCGTAAATACATTACATTCAAGAGATTCCCATACAATCGCTGTAAAAATTCAATACAAATCTTTCGAAACGACCTCGACGCTATTGTGTACAAGAAGAAGGTGATCTAAACAGTGACAGATATCAAATGAATCGTATTATTCTCGTTAGAAACTTTACTCCTGTGTATGTATAATGAAGATTCAAACCTAGCCCATACAAGAAGTCATCTAGAGCTTGTCGATCTATTGTTTTTGTATGATACTGTGTGGCAACGGTATAGATCGTGTTATACGCGAGAAGTGTATTGAAGACGAAATACGCAGTCACTTGAAGAAGTGTAAGTCGAATAAACTGAATGTCTTTCTTTTTGTATCGCCGTCCATGAAATGAGGCAACATTTGTCACCATAGATCGTTCTGCGGGAGTAATTTGTTGTTTTTCAACATGGTGAATGTTGTAAAGCATGAGAAGACTAAATATAACAAGGATTATGAGAGGAACAAGAGATAAAGCAACATTATAAATAGTAGTGGGTATAAAAAAACCCGATTCGGTTGGTACTGCACATGTTGTATTTCTGATTATGGTGTAAGCAAAAGATGTGTGTATAATGATGAAAAGTAAACAGATGATACCCCCAATAATTAGTCGTCGAGCAACTTTTCGCGAACTCAGTCGTCGAGTGAGTGCATTTCTTGATGTGATCATCCATCGATCAATCGAGATCAGACAAAGAAGATAACGAGCAGTGGTTAAGCCTACCAAAACAAAATAAATTCGAGCCTTACAGAAAGCTAAGGATTTGAGAGAAAGATCATAGTCAGTCCATGCCCAAATGATCCGTGTTGAACATCCCATGTTGAGATATAAAAGGTGTGCAAGTGATAGACTAATGAAATAATAGGAACAAACGTGCGAGCGAAGAGTGGCTTGAGAGAAGATGAGAATATTTGCTAGGTTTGTTAAGTTGCCGATGATGTAGATAGACGTGAGGAGTGATCGAACGATCTGTGTTTGAACATTGGCAAGATAAACTGATAGAGTAACAGTGGTTGAATTCATATTTATGTTGATGCTAAGGAAAAATAAGTGTCACTATGTTCACCCGCGTAAGGGGCTATAAAATAAGAATATTGTTAAAATAAAAGAAAACTCATTAAAATAATGACAGGAATAAGGAAATGTTCCATTTGAAATAAAATAAGTTATTAGCACATTTACAGGTTGTCTCTGTCTCGTGGCTTAGATTGAAAACAAGTTTTTCATGGAAGATGTGTTGGGTTTCACTCTGGTTAAGAACATTATTATTTCTTTGACTGGTAGTGCTCTTTTAAGACATGGTAAGAATGTAAGCTGTTCAAGATACAAAAATAGAAATTACACTAAAACACGTCGTCTTTCGGTATGTCTGTGTCATTATACATAGAAAACCTGATCATTGTCTTTTTTTTTAGGTAATGTACAAAGTGAGGATATAAAATCAGTCAGAAAGACCTGGTAGAGGCGGAATATTCAAGGGTATTGCCAATTCTACAGCAATAAGAAAACATTAGTTTTATGGCTTTTACATGTTACTTGTTTCGTTTCTCGTCGAGCTTCGTCAAAAATTTTGTGATGTATTTTTCCTAAGGTAAGAAATGTCTCTGACATGATAGACAAGGATGACATTTGTACATCTACTATTCGTAATCAATAAAGAAAAAGACAAATACTTTTCAGATTACTATTTCTCCCACTGACGAGAGAATGAAACGTCATACGCTTCACTTCCATCAATCTATTTTCGTCGTAGAAAACTTATGATTTGCTTCTATAACGGCATTTCTATATATATTTGAATGAAGAAATGTGAGTCAACGTCGTTTATCCAAGTGGCGAGTTGTAAGGAATTTTACACACTTGTTTCTTGATGTGATCACGAGAAGTAAAATTGACTGAAGAGTATATTAAACATAACGAAGTCTATTTATTGAATTAATTTTTTAAAGCAGAAATTTCCGAGAAGATGTGAAAATTTTACAAAATTCTTTAATCATTTCACTGTCCCTATCTGGAAGTTGTAATGTGTTTGAAGGGTTTTCGCAACAAATCGATACAAATCTTCCGGAACGAGATAGATGCCATCGTGTACAAGAAGAAAGTAATCTAAACAAAAACAAAAGTATGGTATTAATCGGTATGATTTGATTAGGAACCCTACTCCGGTGTATGTGTAATGCAGATTGAGACCTATTCCATTCAGAAATCCTTCTAACGCTCGTTGATCTGCTGTCTTTATTCGATTTTGTGTGGCAACTGCGTAAATCGTGTTATATGCATGAAGAGTATTGAAAATAAGATACGCCGCTACTTGAATGAGTGCTAGCCGAATGAACTGCATATCCTTCTTTTTGTATTGCCGTCCAGCATGTGAAACATTGTTCATTACTGATGCCTGTTCTACAGGGACAATTCGTTGACTTCGAAGCTGTTCAATATTGTAAAGTATGAGAAGACTGAATATGACTAGAGTTATGAGAGGAGTAAGTGATAGAGCTACATTGTAGATTGTATAGAGCATGAAAAGGTTCGATTGCGGTGATGGTCCACAAGGTATCGTGTCGGTCAAAACATATGCGAATGGTGCATGTATGATGATGAGAAGTAGAAAGACGATACCTCCGATAATCATTCGTCGAGCAGTTTTGGACGAACTTAGTTGACGAATGAGAACATTTCTTGATGTGATCATCCATCGATCGATCGAGATCAAACAAAGAATATATCGAGATGCACTCAGACCAAATATTACAAAATAAACTCGAGTTTGACAGAATATTAGAGATTTGAGAGAAAGATCATAACCAGTCCATGCCCAAATGACCCGTGTTGAACACCCCATGTTGAGATACAGGAGATGTGCAAGCGATGCGCCGATAAAATAATAGGAACAAACGTGCGAGCGAAGAGTGGGCTGTAAGAAGATGAGAATATTCGCTAGGTTTGTTAAGTTGCTGATGATGTAGACAGGTGTAAGCAATGATCGAATGATCTGTATTTGAACATTGGCAAGATAAGCCGACAGAGTAACAGTAGTTGAATTCATATTTGATGGAAAATGGAAACAGAAGCGGATTACGTGTATAAATACTTCTTTATATGTCCATAATAAGATGTTAATGTAAAAATAGCAAATAATCTTGTCAAAACCTTCAAGAAAAAGGATAATTGCTCCGGAATAAAACAAGCCATTAGGTTGTCTCAGATTTATGTCACTTTTCATTATTCTTAAAAGCAGTCTATTATAAAGAATTCTTTTGATAGAAAATTGAAAAATCTTATTCATCGGATTCATCCAAGGGGATGCTCATAAAAAGAGTTCAGGTACGCTCAAAATATCGATGAACGGGTTAAAAATAAAGCTGAAGTATTCTATCGTATGTTAATGATGCTATTAATATGAACCGTTGCATTTGTGCTTGTTGACTGAAAACATCATCTGATAACACAGAACAAAGAGTAGCATATAGAAATATGCAAACATGACTTGGCAGAAAATCATGGAAAAACGTAATTTCTAGTCATGAGGTTTTTACGGTTGAATAGAAACTGTAAAAAATGAGTGGAACATAGTCCAGATCCATCTAAATGAAAGAAAAGTGAATATTAAATTCTATTCATTTTATTATTCGTGTCTCAAAGCTAACGGATGTTTGAACGGTCTTCGCAAAAAATCGATACAAATCTTCCGGAACGAGACAGATGCCATCGTGTACAAGAAGAAAGTAATCTAAACAAAAACAAAAGTATCGAATTAATCGGCATGATTTGACTGGGAACCTTACCCCGGTGTATGTATAATGGAGATTGAGACCTATTCCATTCAGAAATCCTTCTAACGCTCGTTGATCTGCTGTCTTTATTCGATTTTGTGTGGCAACTGCGTAAATCGTGTTATATGCATGAAGAGTATTGAAAATAAGATACGCCGCTACTTGAATGAGTGCTAGCCGAATGAACTGCATATCCTTCTTTTTGTATTGCCGTCCAGCATGTGAAACATTGTTCATTACTGATGCCTGTTCTACAGGGACAATTCGTTGACTTCGAAGCTGTTCAATATTGTAAAGTATGAGAAGACTGAATATGACTAGAGTTATGAGAGGAGTAAGTGATAGAGCTACATTGTAGATTGTATAGAGCATGAAGAGGTTCGACTGTGGTGATGGTCCACAAGGTATTGTGTCCGTCAAAACATATGCGAATGGTGCATGTATGATGATGAGAAGTAGGAAGACAATACCTCCGATAATCATTCGTCGAGCAGTTTTAGACGAACTCAGTTGACGAGTGAGAGCATTTCTTGATGTGATCATCCATCGATCGATCGAGATCAGACAAAGAAGATATCGAGATGCACTCAGACCAAATATTACAAAATAAACTCGAGTTTGACAGAATATTAGAGATTTGAGAGAAAGATCATAACCAGTCCATGCCCAAATGACTCGTGTTGAACACCCCATGTTGAGATACAGGAGATGTGCAAGCGATGCGCCGATAAAATAATAGGAACAAACGTGCGAGCGAAGAGTGGGTTGTAAGAAGATGAGAATATTCGCTAGGTTTGTTAAGTTGCTGATGATGTAGACAGGTGTAAGCAGTGATCTAATAATCTGTATTTGAACATTGGCAAGATAAACCGACAGAGTAACAGTGGTTGAATTCATGTCTGGGATAGATGAGTATCAATCGGTTTGTTTGTAAAAGAAACTGAGTAATGTAAATGAGAGTTAAGTAATCTTCTTCAAACAATGACGAAAAGAGAATACTAATTTATTGGACATAGAACAAATTATTATCATATTTGTAATTTATAGATCTTTTCAATGTCTGCTCATTAATTTATTCTTTAGAAGTTTATAGAATGGGCTCGGTAATGACTCTGTGTATCAAGGTACAGAAAGAAAGTAGTTATTGAAGTAGTATAAGGTTCATATCGGATAATTACGGGTAAATTAAACGGGGAATACCCGAATATTTTCTGGTGCTTTAATTATCAAAATGATGATTGTATTAAGCGATACTAGGCCATTGTAAATATGTCGGTCGATGTTAAAAGATTGTCTTTTTTGCTGCGCAGAATCACGAGTAGGAATGTGAAGTACGTAGAAAGAATTTAGAAGAGATCTACTTGATCCTTGGAGTCTTGGCTTTTTGTGGAAAGAAATGGGAGTTTTTTTATGGAAGATCTTTTTATATAATCTTTGTTCCTTTATGAAGAAGAAGTACTCTTGTGACAAAAATCTATTCGTACTTCGTCTTTGTATGATAGTCTTTGAAGCAATCCACAATGCATAGAGGAACCACACCCTCAAGACAGAAATACCGTGTATCACGTCGAATATGCAACAGACATATTTCATACCAATAGGTCGACATCAAAGTCACAAAGATGGTGTTTGCTTAACATCTGCGTATAAAATATAAGATGTTCGAAACAGATAAAAAAATATACCACGAACACCTTTGTTCAATAGCCGCGTTTGAACGTATATATACGTTTCCGGAACTCCAAGAGTTAAGAATGCACTGTCTTCTTGACAAACTTTGTCGTTTAATCTAACCGAATTCAAGCTCATGGCGATCCTCGTTAATAATAATGAGTACGAATAGAGTCAAAAGCATGTAGCGTAATTAATAAAAGGAAATAGCACACCCTCACCTTCAATCATCGATTTATTTCGTTAAAGAAAAGGGTTTAAGTTTAGTGAATAGTGGTGTTGATATCCGCAACGAAGTTATCTCATTGCGTCCGATAATTGATGATTAAGCTATAAAAGATGATCACGAATGAACATCATGTACTGCTATTGTCAATTTCACGGTATTATTCACTACCAGCTGGATATCGTTGCACTTTTTATGAAAATTATTATTCATTCTGAGATACAAGTAGAGAAAGTATTCATCGTGTTTGAAATACGAGTGAAACTGCCTTAAGCTAACACGTAATTATGTAAAGAAATCAAAACAATCAACGATAATCTGTTATAATCCGGGTGACCTATTGATGGTTACAGGAGGAAAAGAATTGAAGTATATTATGTCATTACAAGTTGGTCATTCTTATTCACAAAAGACATCATTAATGATAATTCATAAGCTTTTATGGAATTAAAAAACTCTATAAATTAAACATGATAATTATAAAGCAGTACATTGAAAAATATCATCATTCTCTTCAGTTTTTTCGGTCTTCTCGCGTTTGGAATACTTCTTCATTTGCGAGTATCGTTCAATGGTTGACTCATTGAAATGAACTCGCGCATTCTTTCTCGGATTTTGTTGGTATTTCGAGTCGTTCGATATGGTAAAGAATTTCGATGCGAGATGATTTTGAAGTTGGAAGTTCATCGTTGAGATCGAATCTTGAGAATTGTAGAACATTTTCGGTGTGGATTTGATTACCGAGGAGGAATTTCGTCGTTGATGGTAATCTTGAGATCGTCGTTTGGTAAATTGTGTTGTTTGGATAAACATCATTGTCTCATTGATAGACCGATGGATTGTTTTGATTTGTGAGCGAAATGATGGCAGATATTTTTGACACCAACGTAATTGCGTTTGATAGTGTTGACTTTGGTGAGTCGGATGTTTCACTACATACAGATTGAGACGATGTTGAAGATCGAGCTCGATGAAACTGTTGTTCTTCATGTCATAAGCGACTATTCGGCGATGATTTTCAACGAATCGATGAACTGTTATGCGCCGAAATGGATAGCCGAGGGTAGTGGATGTGTGTTGTTCTAATGATCGACTGATGATCAGTTCGACGATCAATGGGTAGTGATTAGTTAGTTCACTCAGAAATTGAATTGTGTATAGACCTTGAATGGGATTTGAAAGATAGGAGAAGGAATTCAGAGAAGATACCGAGGGAAATTGTGAATAGACAGGAACGAAGATTCCTTTGGAGTCGGATTTGAGAGTGAGAATATCTGGATGGACATTGCTTTTCACCTGGAAATGTTCATTGCTTGAGAATTGCTTCTTAATCGAGAATTTTGTTTGATGATTCAATAACAAATGTTTATTCAGCGAATGTGGTAAACTCGTGAATAGCGTACGTAAACGAACTGTTGATGTTGTTGTTGGTTTATGACAAAGTTCGAGAAGTGTCCCTGGATCTAAATGACATGACAATGAGTTATGATGTACGGTATACGATTTCAAAGTTGTAAAATGTGTGTATGAAAGTTTTAAATGTGGTAATAAAGAATGAATCGATTGAAGAACATTGTAACGAGTTATACCGTGTTCGACTAGAGCAAAGAGACCTGAAAATAGACAAATTTTGCATTACGAATCGGTATGGAAAGAGCAACAAACCATCGAATAAAATTGGTATCGCAAATTGTTTCGTTTCATTCGAAACACTTAAATACGGTTCATTGGTTTCACATAATAAAATCAAATAATTCTCTAATGAGTCATTATTATCGATTCGCACGAGACACGGGAATTTCTGCTGTTCGATAATCTTTTCAAATGTTAAACATTCATCTTGATCGAATTCATCATTCGAACGCGATGTCACTGCCCACTTTAACATTCACGCAGATAAATAATTGTCAATATTCAAACATGTATCAATGGAATAATTGAACAAGGTCATTGAAAAAGAAAACTAAATACCAACAAATCCCATTCTGTTCGTTCTTCTTCAAAGAAAATGTAACTGTATGTGTCTTCATTCACTTTCTCTCCATTTCTTTTCTTTCTCCTTCTTTTCCTTTCTTCCTCTTGCGTTCGCACCATTGCTCATGCTTCACTTTTTTTCCTTTCATTTGTTTTAATATATATTAAAAAAGAAACGGAAGGAAATTATACCTTTTTCACGAATATATTACTGATAACCTTCAGTTGTTCTTGTTTCGAACATATTCTTTCACTTGAAATCTCTTCCTTTTAATTGATTTGAAAACATATACAAATGTTGTTTTTGCTCTCCGATCATGACAGGTCAATTAATATGCGTATACACTCTATGCATTGACAGACATTCAATAACGTACCGTTTTCGATCCTTTCAACATGAAACAGTTTAGATTCAAGGTCTTAATCTTCTATGTGCGTGTGTAGAAAATCTCTCTCGGTTAATTGCGCATGTTCAAAAGACTTATTATGTAACACCGAGATATATGTGGTCTATTTATTCTTTTAGAGAAAAATGTTAACATTTGAAGTCATTCGGTGTTAATTGATTTGTGTTAAATGCTTGTTCAATGGTTTGAGCCATGGCTGATTGCATCGCTTCTCGGCGAGTTTTGAAACCTCGAGCTCTACCGATAAAGCCTGGGATTTTATTTTCGCATTGGAATCTAGCATCCCAAACCCACTGAAATTTACTACTGACGTGCCCTTTGATGATGCGCGAGCATTTGATATCGCAGATTTGAATTGGTTGGTCATCGTACCACGTATTCTTATTCCAAATATATTTACTTAAACTATTTGCACAATCTTTCCAATTGTCCGATTGATCTTCGATTTCACAAGTATTAGGAAAATCGTAATTTTGTTCCGATGAACTACCATCAAGTGCTAATGCACCTTGAATGCTGATGCACAGAAATATTCTCAGTAAAATTAGTTGAAAGGACATACTTTAGCTCTAAAAACAAAGCTTTCAAATAAGATTTCGGATATGAATCGAATGATATAACTTACTTGATGTTGAACGTTTTACAGGACAATGGAAGAATTTATATACTTATATCCACCTTGCTGTGTTGTCTATCCATGACTTAGATATTTACGAGAACAGATGGAACATGAATAATGGTAAAAGCGGATAACCGTTTTTAGTCAGATCTGACTTTCCCACACGTTACTCGGATCATTAGTAACAAAGATAATATAGATAAAATCTTGTTGAATATCGTTGTTCAATTTTCGACCCACACCTGCATGGGTTCGATGGTGTAGCGGTTATCACGTCTGCTTTACACGCAGAAGGTCGCGAGTTCAAACCTCGCTCGAACCTTTCTTTTTTGTTTTTCTTTCGAGTTCGTCTCAATCACAAAAACTTCGTTGACGTCAAATTCGTCGAAACACCTACACATTCATGTATATTATTATCGAGATTATCATGTATCGGCAAGATGAGGAGTAGGAGGCAAGTCTTCTGCATATAAACCTTGAGAAAAGGTATGTGAACTCCCAGAAGAACCATCAATCAACAATCATTAGGTCGCAGATTTGTTATTTTCTTTTCTCAAACGGAATAGAAGGAAGTGAGAACGAACAATCACGATCACCACTACTTCGGTGTTGATTAACATGATCATATATTCGCCAGTAGTGATCGTCAAGCGTGATAATTTTCAGTTGTTGATATGTCACGTTTCCTTTCTTCTTCGATACATTAGTTTTGTTCCTTATAAGAAAAAAAGAAGAAAAGAAAACCCGTGTAGCTTTCATTAAGACAAAGACACACAAACAACAGACACAGTATTCCAAAAAGAATCTTCTTATAAAATGATTTCTCCGAAAGTTATCTTTTGCATTGCTATCCTGGCACTCATCATGTTATTTGTTTGTCCTTCACAATCGATGCCAACAGGCAAGTCCAATGCCGCGGATTTATCAACACGGCATAAACGATGGACTTTCAATACGTGGCGTCTACATGGCCGACGGCAATTGTCCAACGGTTTGTTTATATAATGATTCTTTTTCCGAAGCACAACTCTGTGTTTGTAGGTGGGATATTTGAACAGAACGCTGCTTATCCATATCAAGTCTACAACGACGAGGATGATCTTGTACGACAAATCCATGAACGGCTTTCTCAAGCTTTTCCTGAATTGAATCGTAATTAGAAAAAAAACACACACGAATGTATGAACAGAATAAACATCGGTTTAAAAAATAAAAAGCGAATCTCTGTTTTCATTTGAATCGACGAGAAAAATTACACGACAGATCTGCTGATTTTGCCAGCTATTTATAGCGTTTTACTGGAAAGATAGGTTGGATCCCGAAATACATACAAACAAGAGAGCGACATGTTTGTTTTGCATGTATGACTTTCTTTTTTCGAACTTTGATCTCAAGGGACGTGAAATGCTACCTACGAAGAAGTTCATAGATTTTGACGATACATATCAAATTGGTGAAGAGGTCATATGAGACACGTTGTTATCGTAATCTTCGAAAAATGAATTTGATCTTTATGTTAGATGAGTGAGCAGAAGATTAAAGTGGATGTTTGATTAAAAAAAAGTAACGGAATTTTATTTATAAATAAACGCCTTTGTCTTCCGGAATGTTTTGTTGATTAGTCATTAGTTGAGTTTTCTTTTCCATGCACGATCGCTTTTGTTCTTCTTCCATTTTTTTGAAATCCAACGCAATGGGTGACCAATGGATCTCCTTCTGATTAGCTGTATTCTCTTTGATCAGCTGAAATATTTCATTGATCTTTCGATGATATTTCTCAATGATTTTCTCGTTTTCATCAATATGTTCTTGTAATTCACTATCGTCTTTGACATAATCTAAAAGCAAGACTTCTAGCTTGTGGCACATCATTGAAAATTTTCTTACCGTACATGTCGCTGTTCGACTTTTGCAAATGATAGCAACGTTTACACAAATCTTCGATACTTTCCATTAATTGACAAATCGGATCAGTCATAATCGAGAAAATTCTATAGAAGATATGAAAATCAGATGTAGTCAATCACAAAACGCAATCTCATCTTGTTTATTTCGCATATTTAAAAACAATCAGACAGCTGGGCTATTATATACAGATGAAAAAATGAGTCAGTTTAATGTTGAGACCATTTGATACTTTTCAAATCAATTCCCTCTTGAAGCATTTCCCATAGTGGACTAAACAAGAAAGAAAAATAGGATGACAATAGACTTCCTATGCATCATCGATCTCACCTCATTTCGCGAAGTCGTTTCACATGTTCAACTGTTTTGGCAATTGTATAATCAACTTCAGCTTCGGTGGTAAAACGACCAATACCAAATCTGTTTTAAATAAGAAAATTTCCTTGAAATCGTTCTTTCTAAACATCGCAATTCTATTACCGAATGGATGAATGTGCTAAATCTTCTTCAGCACCAATCGCACGCAGAACGTACGATGGCTCCAATGATGCAGATGTACAGGCACTTCAAATTACAAATCACATGTCAATATCACGAAGAAATGTTTATCTTACCTTCCTGATGATAATGCGATGTCTTTAAGTGCCATTAACAATGACTCGCCTTCGATATAAGCAAAGGAGAGATTGACACAGCCAGGATAACGTGATTTGGCATCACCGTTGAGAATGACATGTGAACATTGACTGGTAATCCCTTCGATTAATCGGTTCGCTAACTGTGAAACACGTTTTTCGTCATTCTAAATACTTTGATCTTCCTAACATTGCCACACACACACTCAGAATTGACTTACAGGAAGTTCTTCTTGAGCTATTTGACATGCAGCGCCGAGACCGACGACAAGTGGAGTAGGAACTGTTCCGCTCCGAATATTGCGCTCTTGTCCACCACCAGTTTGAATCGGATCGAGACGAACACGTGGTCGTCGACGGATGTAAAGTGCGCCAATACCTTTGGGACCGTAGATTTTATGTCCACTGATTGACATCAGATCGATATTCATCTTATTAACGTCGATCGGAATCTTTCCCACAGCTTGTGCAGCGTCCGTATGCAAGAAAACTTTCTTCGATCGACATAATTTGCCTATAAAAGTAAGAAAAATCCATAGGAATGCATTCGATAGGTAAATTCATCACCAATTTCTTCGATTGGTTGGCGAACACCGATCTCATTGTTGACCATCATCACTGAACATAAACTTGTCTCTGGTGTGAGAACAGATTCGAGTTCCTACGAAAAAAAAGAACGTCTCTCGAGATGACTAAAAACGTTTCAATCAAGCTTACTTTCAAATCGAGAAGTCCATTTTTGTTCACTGGAAGATAAGTTACTTTGAAACCTTCACTTTCTAAAACTCTCATTGAGTCCAACACACATTTGTGCTCCTAGAAGTTAATCAAATAGCATTGAAGTTTCCGCATCGGAATCAAACTTACAGTTTGTGTTGTCACGACGTGTTTCTTCTTTTCTTTATAGAACCGTCCAACACCTTTAACAGCGATATTGTTTGACTCAGTAGCTCCACTGGTAAAAATAATTTCCTTCGGATCCGCATTGATTAACTTCGCAACTTTCTACAAACATAATTTAAACTATTTTGAGAAACTTCAGAAAGTGCGCTTGTACTTCTCGTGCGTCTTCAGTTGCCTTTTCACTTTCCCACCCGAAAGCATGTGTTCTCGAATGGGGATTTCCATAAAAATGCGTCATGTACGGCAACATTTGATCCAGTACGCGTGGATCCTAAATGACCATCTTCACCAAAAAACATATCACAATTAAAAACGAAAGTTACCATTGGTGTCGTCGCTTGCGCATCTAAATACAACGGTCGATATTGAAGTTTTTCTAATTCTTGATATTTCTGTTGCTGAGCCTTGCTTTCCTCTGCCTCTTTCTCTGATGGGTTACTCTTCGAACTCAATCCTCGGTAAAGCCGAGAACACACCACTGGAGAAAAGAACGTTTTAACCGACGAGGTCTTTGTAAGAAGGAGCATCTAGAAATAATAAAGCAGGCCGTCCTAAGATGAGCAATTTATTCAAATGGAACCACGAAGAAAACTATTAGAAAGCACGAGATCACACTTAGACGTAAACTTAATTGTCGTTGCCTTTAAAGTTAAAGAAAAATCAACAAAACAAAAAAGAAAAGAAACCAACGGTCAGCGGTTCATCAAAACAAAAGAAAATAATTTCAACGTGTAAAGTTCTAGTTCATTAAGAAAAAAAACACTATATTATGCTTTGATTCATCGAAAAACAGAAACAAGGAGAATAAAACATGTGTGTCGTTTTCGAAGATGAAAATAACAAATTGGAAGGAAAAATATGAATTAATCAGGTAGCATTCATTGTTTTGATTGAATTTGAAAAGAAAAACTAGAAGATTATTGCAGAAATTTTGATATACTCATAGATATTTTCGGGAAATCTGTTCTTGGCGAGTTCTAAACCGAGAAATTTTGTAGGAGATTATAAAGAAAGCAAAGATTTACTTGAATGTTAAGTAACCAATGATGATAACAAGTTGAACGACAATCACGAGAAAGAATGTAAATGAACCGACGCAAGAACTATCAGTTTTGGTTGTCGACGGTGGACATTTGATTTCCTGGGACTGAAAAATGAATGATTTACGTGGTTTTCAGATAATTCGCACATGTTTCTCACTGATTTTTGTATTAAAGTGTTCGTTTCTGATTTTATCAATCGAACTGTTTCTCGAACTTCGTTTAAAACTGTATTATCGACATTCGCATTGGCTATTTGTTGTGCTCCACCCATCGGTCGTTGAATATTGATGTTCGATTGAAGACTGTTCACCTTTTGTTGCATATCAGTTAAAACTTGTCTGAAAGAGACGCACGTCGCGCTCAAAGCGAAATTTTTTGTTTTACGAAACTTACGCAAAACTTTGAATAGTTCGCGTCATGTCGCTATTTGAATTGATAACACGATTGATGTCTTGAATACGTGCAATATCGGTTGGGATGGCTGATGCACCCTGAAGTATGGGAGAAGGACGTTCGATTTTGATGCTTTGAAATGAATCATTACTTGAGCTTGTCCACTGATTTGTTGTTGATTGGAAGTTAAAGCAAGTCGTTCGACACGTCCCAGCAGCTCAGCCATTTTCCGATCAATTGCGCCCAAGGAAAGACGAATTTGATCTTGACCTTCTAAAATCGTTCGAAATTCCCGATCATATTCACTTTCGTACTAAAAGTTTAGAGTGAATTCATTGGATTATAACAGATTTCTTCATACTATCGCCTGCTCATTGATTGGCGTTGTTTGGTCAGGATGCTCTTTTTGATAACTAAAGAATTAGAAAACGAAAAAGAAATATTCGAAAGAGACCTTGAGGTGAAATACGAACTCTGCTTGTTGTTTTTTAAGTTCCTGTTCGTATTTTTCATACTCTTCTTGATACTTTTTCGCCTGTTCATCTGTTGCTCCTTGGTTTTCAGCCATGACTTGCTTATCCCAGTACGTATGTGTTAGTAATTCCAAAACATCGTGATCATCAGCAAGACCACCGGTCGCCGCTGAAACACCGAGATAACCAGTTTTTGGTAATTGAATTCCATCAATACGTGTACAGAATTCAAAAGCATTATCATCTTGTGAGATGCCATTATTCAAATAAATCTAAAAACGAAAATCCCTATAGAAAACCATTAATCGCTCGTTTTCTTCGCTCACTGTTAATCCTTTGTTGATATATTCGATCTTAAGTCGGATGGGTAATGGTTTATTTCGGAAATCTCGAATACAACTTCCTTGAATTTGACCACTACCATCATGTTGATGATCGTATGATTTCGTTCCGTCATTGACCATTACAGCTATGATTGGATTATTTTGCTAGAATGAAAAAGAAAAATGAAACTCATTGCTTTCCTTCGCTGATCAAAGAAGTTGTTTAGTTTTGTATCGGAGTCATGAATCAGCCAAGTGATCACAGTCATCATGCTGGGATTAACACTCCGACATTTCTCTCGCCATCATTGATTAAGAGACACATATCATTGTCTGTTGCCAGACTAAGGACTCTGCCCAATGATGGCATGTGGATTCGAACACATGTACAATCGATTTAAACAAAACAACTAGATTAATATGTGACAACGAAGAGAAAATGTGAATAAATGTTCAATAGGAAGTCGAGTTTGTGTATGGAAAGTTTAGAAAGAATATAGTGGAGTGAATAGAAGAAGTACGAGAAGCGTGTCACTTACGAATTGAGGGGTCTAAGAATTTTGGAAAAATGAAAAACTATTCATTTAATTTGGATTTTCATTACAATGAAAACAAAAGCGAATTTCTTGAGTTTTCATCTACTTACTAGAGCATCGTTATCGAACGAATCCAGAAAAACACCTAAACCATTCCAATGATCATTCGCACCAAATACCGGACCCTCACCGCCCTGCTTTTCAGTAAACCAAATCGCCTTCACAAAAAAAGAAGATCATGTCGAATGAAAGTTGTTATATTCAGATTCTCTTACCATTCCATCAGCACCCACACGACCTCGACCGGTCACACGTAATTTTACATCCAACAGCCAATTATCAGCAGTCATGGTATTTTTACTCCAAATCCATCCTGTATTCAACACAATGTTCAACTCACGTTGAAAAATTCCTTCAATTTACCCTTTTGACTCCGGATTGATGGTGTCACACGTACTTGGTCATCACTTGCAATAGTGCCTAAACAATCATACATGAACAAAACCTCGAGATTCATCATTTATGGAAGTCTTACTTCCACCGTGTGTCCAAAATGGAACAGTTCCGTCTTTAAAAGCCAGATGAGGTCCTTTAAATGATAGTTTATATTCAAATCGTTTCGTCAATTGTGGATTTATTACAGATGGATCAGTGAAAGCCAGTAGAAGTTTAATCGAAAAGCATGTAATCAAAATAATTTGGTGGAATCTCATCATAACTCTGCGAATCTGACGGTATGACGATGAAAGAAAATAATCTAAATCGAAAATTCAAATGAGAAATGAGATGAAAATAGACGAAATAGAATCGATCACCAATCAAGTTTCTTGGCCAGGTGTTGAGTATTTATTTGATTTGATCATAGACTTGACGCATCATCTCATGTTTTCTACGAATGAAAATCAATTTTCAGATAGAAAGTCGGGAAAAAAAATTCTTTTGCTAAAATTAACCGAATTTCTCCATTAATTTGTTACTTTTCACCGTAAAAGAAGATGTCGTGGGTATATATTCAATCGCTGCGATTTCTTATTAGTAAATACGAAATGGCCAATCATAGATAAACTGAAATACCAGCTGGGCATACATACAGAGCTGCCATCTGTTCAGGTATAGGAAGGGGTACAAAAATTCTTAAATGGGGTGTATATGAGGTACATTTTTGTTCCCAATGGGGTACGTCGAAAGGGTACACAATTTTTTTCTGAGCAACATGTGCTACCAACGCAAAATCAGTTTCGAAAATGTTTTTTGATCTAAAGGGATATTTCCAAACTTTTTAGGATGCGAGGGTTGTAGTGGTAGTGGTTCACAAACACGTTTTTTCTTTCAATAAATCTATAGTGATTCTTTGATATTTTGCAATAGATGTACAGACATACATTTAAGATGAAAACTATTATGAATTAGAAACAGTATTTATTATCGATCATGCGAGCAAAATGACAAAAGAAAAGAAAATGCTATGAGTAACAATATCGTGTACTGATCTTAAATAAACCAATATAATAGACTCTTCGTATATATCTACAAATAAAGATGTCGACTACAACCAGCAAATTTATAGATTTCTACTAAATATGATTTTAATTTTCTTCAAAGAAAAATAGTCCAGATTGGGTACAAATTCTGTACCTCTGAGGTACAAATCGTACAGATGGAATAATTTACCCCCAAATGGGGTACGGATGGCAGGCCTGCATACATACTTCCTCACTTCCCCAAGATGATCCGTTTTGAACAAATCTGATATCCCGCTTGTATTTTACGTTTATGAACTTCCACGATGACGAAAAACAAAAGTTAATCGAAGAAGTTCATGCTTTAGTCACTGTCCGAGATGCCAAACATACGAAGTGAGTCATACTTTCTAATCATTATCATCACACTTCCTCTTTCTCTCTCTTTCTAAATTTAGTTTTGTCGAAGTAAGACAAGCAACACATGAAATCATTTCCTCTATTAATTAGTAATAAATATGCTTTTTAGTTTCGCAATTTCAAAATAGTCTATCGTCGTTACGCTGGTTTATATTTCTGTATATGTGTTGATGTCAATGATAATAATCTGGCATATCTTGAAGCAATACACAACTTCGTCGAAGTTCTTAATGAGTATGATTAATATTCGGACATTTCTACTGACTTTTTTGTCTTTTCTTTTAAGATTTTTCCATAACGTATGCGAACTTGATTTAGTCTTCAATTTTTACAAAGTAATTCAACGATTTTGACTTTGATGAATGATTTCATATTTGACATAGGTTTATTCGGTTGTCGACGAAATGTTCTTAGCTGGTGAAATTCGCGAAACAAGTCAAATCAAAGTTCTAAAACAACTAACTACCTTAACATCACTTGAATAATCTTCATCATCGTGTTTCTTTACTAAATAACCACATTCTTCTTTGATCTCTTCACAAAAATAGATATGATATTGTCGTATTGATTTCTAAGAAAATTCGATGATTTTTTCAGATGTATTGATTGAATAAGAACATGGGTCGAAAGAACGACATTGGTAATGCCACTTCACTCGTCGATCAGTATCGAAAACAATTAGGTTTGTGGTTGAATTGAGTATGCGTACATGTGATATTGATGATTTGTGTAGGTCGACAAGAAAAAAGAGTTGTCAATGAACGTCGTCGAGAAATAAAACGGTTAAAATCGGAACAAGAAACTATTTCTTATTGGAAGGTAAGATTAATTGTTATCAAAACCTCCGACTTCTGTTTTCTCGCTTTCTAGAACATTATTTGGACACTTGGTGCCGTGCTATTTTTGATTTTTATCATTTACATTTCATTTATGTACTGTTTAACTCCGAAAGATTCGTTATAAACAGTTTACTGATCAAGAATCTACTGAATACAATTGTGACATAATGGGCATTTTTATTTACTGAATAACTTTTTTTCTGTGAAGGTGTTTTTTGTTACTATATTTATTGTTAATCTTTTCGTTTTTTTAAATGAGATAATGATTTCTTTGAAATGAATAAGAAAAGCTTGTTTATAGATGTTTGCGAAAAATCTATTAACACAAATATTTCATATTCGGTATCCAATCATTCAAGCACCCATGTCTCCGTTGACAACGCCGGAACTTGTTGCGAATGTGTCGAATGCCGGTGGCATGGGTACCATAGCAGGTGCCCGAATGACTGCTGAACAATTAACCAATGAAATACAACAAGTGAGATCATTAACAGATAAGCCATTTGGCGTTAACTTGTTTATACCGCCGAAACAAACAGAAATATCAGCACAAATGATCGATTCTGTCCGAAAGGAATTGAAACGATTGATAGCGAAAGGAAAAGTGAGTGATTGCAGAATTGATTTCGATTCAATTTCAGTAAAGCCACCCAAGGACCTCTATCCAGAACAAATTGAAGTCATTCTCAAAGAGAAAGTGTCCGTTCTTTCGTTTACGTTCGGATATGTGTCAGACGACATCATTAAGAAATGTAAAGAATCGAATATTCGGTTGATTGGAACGGCAACTACAGCAAAGGAAGCAGTTCTTTTAAAAGAAAAAGGATGTGATGCTGTGTGTTTACAAGGTTCAGAAGCAGGCGGTCATCGAGGTAGTTTTCTTACAAATGATCTCGAAACCATTGAACAATCAACTATCGGTTTACAATCTCTTCTTTCCCAAACAACGCAATTTATCGATCCGGCTTCATATCCAATGATCGCAGCTGGTGGAATTATGGATGGAGCTGGTTTAGTCAATGCATTAACGTCAGGTGCATCAGGTGTACAAATGGGTACAAGATTTCTTACCTGCCATGAAAGTAAACAACTTGTGCCAGAAGCTCATCGAAGACTATTACTCGAAGCGAGAAGGAACATTAATGAAGTCCGTCCAACAGTTTTAACTCGTGCTTATACAGGTAAACCAGCGCGTGGAATGCGAACTGCGATTACCGATCAGTTTCGAGAGAAGATGATGTTACCATGGCAATATCAAGCTCAACTTGTCTTACCACTATGTAAATATGCTGCAGAAACTAAGCAGATCGATTTTATGCAATTATGGGCTGGACAAAATTATGCACGATGCGAAGATCAATCAGCGACTGAAATTATCCAACAAGTTATGAGAGAAGCTAAGGAAATACTTAAGCGTTATAAATAAATTTCTTTGATTCTATTACCAATCAGTTGTCTATCGATATTCTGTTTCTTTTCTTTCGTGAGTAGAGGAGAATTGTAAAAAATAAACCAATTTCATTTATACCCGGATTCTACTCGAGATTTAAAACAAGCCTTACATAGTTCGACAATGTTTTTGCTCATTCAAGATGATGGTCCAACACAGAGCATAAACGCAAATATCATCATCTATAGCCAGTCATCTCAATGAAACAATCAAGTACTGTACTTTAAATCTATTTTATGCAGCACGTGACGATGAAATCAATCAGACCGTCACGAACTTTCCGCACAATGAGAAACGCCAACAGAAGCCACGACAAAAGAAACACAAAGTCTTTTCCCCAGGTCGATCATTCTGGCGACTGGATCCGTTGAAATCTGAGTCGGTTCCGGCACAGTTTTCGCCGATTCCAGCTAGTTCCGATAGGTTCCTTGCCGCCGGATTCCGGCCGGAATTGGACAGGAAATATTCGATCAGTTCCTGACCGTTTCCGGCTCGAAGTTTGCAGGGAACGGCCGGGAAATGAGCGGAACCTACGTTTGAACTTCCGGCCGGAACCGACCGTGCCATAATAACCTGGGTACGGCCAATTCTGTTATTGTTATTGTTGTTGTTGTTGATGATGACGTCTTGGAAAATAAACCAAATTCACCTGCTATAACGTTGGTTAAAACAGCTGTTTGCACTCCGAACCAAGCAACTAAAATCCAAAATACATATTTGTTGAAGAAGTACACGGTGCTTTTAGTTATTAAACAACATGCATATGCAGAAAAAAGGAGGGAAAAGGTGATCATTTCAAAAGGCTATTAACATTATGTGCGCTTTGTACGAGACCAGAATGTCAATAAATGGAAATCATTGTCTTCAATTTCTCAAGTCCATCGGGATGGGAGCAAAAGCCCTTTTCACGTCGGACTCTACCAATGTCTGCTTGTATTCATAAGATCGTCAAAAGCCTTATTTGGAGTTTCCAATCCCTTTCATTTCTATTGAAACATAGCTGGAATTAATTATCACGGACAATCATTTCATCCTTATAATAGCTATTGGCAATAATTATTCAAATTATAATCTCTAATTTCATTAGCTTCCAAAATTTTGAAAAGGTGCGAGGTCGTGACAAATTCTAGCAGGATCACCCCGTAACACAATTTGTAATTATTGAGCAACATCAACGAGATCATGACAACAAGACATAGAAAGTTCAGTGGTTGAAATCAAATTCGTAGGAAAAGACTGATTTGTTTTCTAGTTTGATAAATTGGTTTAGTTAACATTAATAAAAAGCAAAACAGCCGATAAAGCATCATTTACTATTGAGGAATTTATTTTACAAAAACAAAAAGTACTTTTTGTCGATGACATTGACGTTATATTCTTGTCATCTTCAATTCTTTTCAAGTCATATTCATTTACAGAAAGTGTTCATTTAAAAATTGAGGTAAGAAAACACTTGTATGCCGAAGTTAAATCCAATTGAAATAAACCCAGATAAGCGTGCAAGAAGGAAACAAAGATACAGTGCATGTAACCCTCGTCAGCGCAACAGCGTATACTTTACAGGTGTATGTATATCCAGAAATACATATTACTTCAACAGGTAACCATTTGGCGTGTTTATTCCAATTTCTTATGAGATGAATTTGAGAAGCTGAGAAGCCATTCCGCTAAGGTAAAAGAAGTCAAATATAATCCATTTAGTTCAATACGCAAAGGAATGTACTTATGACGACAAGAGAATCGGATTTCATTTTTTTTAGCATTTACTAGACGAAGTATCCGATAGCAATTAATAAATATCTATTTCGAGCGTCTGACATGTTGGAAAGCTGCAGCATATAGGAAAGTCAGCATATTTCGAATGTATATGCTTGCGGTGATTGTCTTTCCCACCGGATATCCTAGAAACGGACAATTTCGGCTATATCTCTTTAGGCAAAAGAGTTACCGAAGCTAATTTCTGCATCAGAAATGATTAAAATTGCCTCTTTCCCTAATATTCACTCTTCACTGCAGCCGTTTGCTCACCAGCCTCATTCTCAGTTTCGCGTCATTTCATACATCATATCCTTCACGTTCATTCATGGCTTCACTCTCGATCAGTACCGTGATCAACATCTTTCACAGAGTCTTGCTAACACTTCCACTCTGAAGATCCTCCTTAGTAATCTCCATCTTCTATCAATCTTTCTCTATACTAAAGTAGTCTTGATGGAAGGTTTCGTCACCTTATCTATTGCAGGAGCTCAATGAATAGCGAACAGATAGACCGTCAATCAAACATTCTCCTTTCTATATGTATAGACATCTAGTTATAGCTGAGCGATTTGACTACTTCGGCTACCAGTTTTCTTAATTTTTTTGGAAAATTTCAATACTATTATCTACTTCGTATATTGCCTGTAGCAAATATAGAGTTTCGTTTTTTTTCGAAACAAAGTATATGGCCACCGTTCTCAAGACTTCGAGAAACATCATCGAAAGTTTGGCAACGATAACTATCGAAGGAAGAGGATGCATAGCGAACAAACAGACGGTTAGACACTTTCTTCTATATATAGATAGATGGATCACGAGAAAAACACGTTTGTTTTTGCACAAAACCTATTATATTCTTAGAAGATAAATTGAGATCGATCAAGAGCACGTATAGCTCAATGATTTTTCAAATAATATCCTTTTACCAAGGGTGAACATATATATCCCACTCTTATTCTCACCATTGCATTAGTAAAACGCGTCATCTGCGCAACAAATCATGTTACAGATTAATTGTCTTTCTAAATTACAATACTTTTCTCCTTGCTTATCGCTAATGTTTCTAATCAGAATCTAAAGCAAAGTGTAACGGTACACTTTGTTTCATCTATCAAAGTGCACAAATGATACAACTAAACTATTGACTAATTATTCAAGGAAAACACGAAAACCGAATCCTGTTCTGACTTTTGGTATTTCCATATGGATTAGTTTTAACGGTGCTCTCCGGTATCACTATCTGATTCGTAGGAATGATCTAAATGCAGTTATTGCATTGCCGCTTTATATCTATGCTATGTCGTACGTAAGTAGGCCAGATAAAACCTAGATCCCTTGGTACATGAATCCGACCGGAAGTTGTCCGAATATCGAAAAATGTGGGAATTTCAAGGTTTTGACATGGTCCCAAGCATTTTCGATACTTTCGACATCCGACAACTTCTGGTCGGATTCCTGTACCAGGGATCCCGACGCTCTCCTCTCCTATAAATTCCCACTGGACCCGACCATCGGATTGCTCGTCGTCGGAAGAACAATACACTAACACTGCTGTCTTTTATTCTATTCGAAAAAGTATGTAAAATCAAAACAGAATTAAAGAAAAAAATCCTATTCATGCCGTTAAAAATAAATGCGTGCGGCGTATGCACAGCTTTTCTATTGAACGGTTAAATTATTTTTCACTCATATACCGTACCCCTTGTCATTAGAAACACTGTTTACCGCAACTCTCTAAAGCGGTTCAATTTCACGCTTCAAATATTTCTCTCGACATACAAAAAAACTCGTTGAATTTTATACATGTGTGATCTTACAGAGATGAGATTTTTCAGAGCTATTTGAATATCTAAACGCCATTTATATAACCAATTAAAGATGTAAAGAAATAGAAAACAAAAATATACATAGGTTCATTAGTGGTCTAATGAATATTCTCTAACGGTTCACTCACACGCGGCGAGTCAATGATGATTCGAAACTTTTCTGTTCAAGAGATTATTGAAATGACGTTTGCTATCATACGCACTTCTTATCTCATTTTCACTCTGCAAGCGATCACATCTCAATCAATATGGTACGCTAGAAATTAGTTTTCAAGAATGAAACTCCTTACACACAATTCTGTATTCAGTTTAGGTGTTTTTCGATTAGACATATCAAACACAGAAAAGGTAGGAATACTTCAACATATTCTATCGATGAAAAACAGCACTCTGAATCGGACAAGAAGTTGCTTACCTAAAAACAATTGAGCGTAAGCAAAGAAAGTTCTTTTCGCTTGCATTGGTGGTGTGTGACGATCTTGGTCAACTGCTGTTGTTTCCGTACCACCACCTATAAAATAAAAGGAACAAATCTATAGAAATGTTTATTTCAGTATATAGCAATGAGACATCCACCTCTAGGCGAACTTTCTGCTCATGTGCTTGACACGTGCTGCTCAAGCAAGTAAATAGGTTAAAAGCTATTGAATTGAATCAAGCTCTTGTCTACTTATTCTATTAGATTAACTAGCAGGGCAGTCTTTTGTCAATCTTCAAACCTAATTATTGATTTCGAGTCTTCATTCGTCTTTCTAATAATAAAACTTTATTACTAGTCAATAAATGTGAACGATCGTTTCGAAGAAGTGGGTGAAATAATTTGTGAACGGCACGAATCTGATTAATTCCAAGGTTCTTTAACGCATAAACATGATTGAAACTATTCTAAAGGCCTGATCTTCAAAATTATTTTAAGACTTTCTTTTCATTATCGTATGTAAACGGTCAGAGAGATTCCTTCGCTATCTGTCACACATACCCAGATCGATCATTCCGGCGACTGGATCCGTTGAAATCTGAGTCGGTTCCGGTACAGCTCTTCTCGATTCCGGCACAGTTTTCGCCGATTCCAGCAAGTTCCGATAGGTTCCTTGCCGCCGGATTCCGGCCGGAATTGGACAGGAAATATTCGATCAGTTCCTGACCGTTTCCGGCTCGAAGTTTGCAGGGAACGGCCGGGAAATTAGCGGAACCTACGTTTGAACTTCCGGCCGGAACTGACCGTGCCATAATAACCTGGGTAGTTTGATATTTTATCAATCTAGTGTTTATTAATTTATGACTAAAGACGTCTAAATACAAAATCGCCAATAAAACTGAATTTTCTTTTGTGAAGTCAAATCAGGATTCTTGTTTAAGCAGTTCCAGAGTTTGATTAAGGAACCTAAGAGCTTTATGAAGAAGCAGAAGAATTTGAACAAGAAATATAAGCGTTTGAACTTTTCTACAGACCTCAACTCTTGGCTCAAGATATGTTCATACGGCAGACATTCTTGTTCAAGGAAGTCAAGCACTTGAAAAGAAAAGTTCGTCTGGGTACTTTATTTTGAAGTCTAATTTCAAAGCTCGAAGTTTCCTTGTATACTCTGCTTTCTCCAAAAACAAAAGCGAACAAATGGGATTCATTGAAACTGTGTTTGATTCAGAATCGCAGAGTAAAGACTACATCTAACCTACGGATCATTGTCTTGTCATTAACAACTCCATTCACGAATCAGCTAACTGAGCTTTCACTATTTAAAGAATGCGGTGCCATTTGAAAAGGAAAACTATTTCAGCGTTTGTCACTGTTCAAAAGAACTTACTTTTTACACGATGAACAACATAAACGTTTGATTCCACCAGTATTGAGTCGTCAAAATAGAACCGTCCGTTTTCAAGAGGTACACTACAACAAAGTTGCGGAATGTTCATTGATTCTTACACCAACGAATTCGTAACACTTTCTTCCTCTGCGCAAGCCCATGTAAAATACAGAGTAAAACAATACTTACAATAGCCACTTTCCAGATTCCTGCCTTTTGTACTTCAAAGCCAACGCTCCGGGAAAATAAGCATTTAACGCTTCCTTTGAAACTGAATGCTGCGAATCCAATGGGACCCCCTTAGGATCATCAACCGCATCTTCCTCACATACATCAACGAACCTAAACATCAATCATTTCCAACAATAAAAACAACTTCTTCCTTACCCGCCCATAGCCATAACTAAAAAATCCGATCACCAATACAAAAAAATCATTACCACAAATTTATGAAAATTCATCTCACCTGGATGACGCAAAGCAGACGATGAACAGCACTTGTTTGAAAAAAAAAACAACGGATCGACAGGGAACAATTGCTAAAACGGAGAACATGACTGAAGAGAGTTGGTCATATTTGAAATTATTCACATCAACGATAACTGATCGAGAACTGGTTGGTGGAATTAGACATGAGAATGGAGAATATGATAACTGAAAGAAAGACTGTGATTGAGACGACTAGAGTTATGATGTATACCCTCAAGGCAGAGATTTTATCAGAAGCGCGGAAACTATATGCAGAGCTGTTGTTGAAAATGGGAAAGAAAGATTGGAAAAGCTGTTTAGGGGTGGTCATAGTTTGAAGCCAATAGTGGGAAGATTGTTTTCGGGCGCCCTCTATGTTGTTATATATATATATGAATTGAAGAGGCTAGCAGAACGCGGAATTGGTGCGCGACGCATTACTATGATTTGCATTAAAGAATAACGATTTACGCAGTAGCACGGAGAATGGTGTTTTCGAGCCCGCAACGGGCCGTTGTGACGTCTATATTTCTGATCAACGGTGCTTTAGGATGTCGGCAGCATAATAGACGTAAACTAATTGAAGAAGGAAACTTTTGGAAAACATGGCGTGCGAGAGCTTTTTAGACTTTCGATACAGTGGTAAAGTTGTGTCTTTAAAATTATTTGCCACTTTATGAGTCTCCCTGAAATAACCTTAGATCAAAGTTTTGCAATAGTCTAGTGTCTTCATCGAGGTTCATATTATTATGCAAGCTTTTCTATGTACAAACTCGAAGTAATAGACAAATGATATATTGAGAAGAATCATAAATGAAAATTGTTGTTTTTTTTATGTAAAAAAGCGAATGATATTACAAAAATTACAAGACTTAGATTATTTGTAAACGATGTGCGCGATGTTCTGATATAATTACGCGATTATTTTTACATATTAATATATCATACGGACCATTAAAACCAATTTTGGAATGGAGAAGTTCCTTTGTACTAAAATCATGATTGAAGATCGTAACCCGGTTATTTCCTTCGTCACAAACATATAATTTTTCTGTTATGTCGTCATACGCTAAACCTAACGGACGTGAAAATTCACCTAATCGCTTTCCACGTTGACCGATACACAGCAAATGTTCGCCACTACTACTGAAAACTTGTATTCGATCATTTCCCCAATCGGATACGGCCAATCGATCACCATTTAACATACAAATACAAGCCGGACACTTCAACTTGCCATTTTCATTTCCAAGTCCGCCCCAAGCAAAAAGAAATTGTCCTTGCTCATTGTATTTCATGATCCGATGGCTACCGGCATCGCATACAAAGATAAAATTCTGTTCATTCGTGCATAGATCGCTTGGCGCAGAATATTGCTCAACGTTATCATGGCCGTACTGGCCAACAAGACGAAGTAATTTCAAATCACGATTGAATACTTTTATACGACGTTCCGACTGATCGATAAGATAGAGACGTTGCTTCGAATCGATGTGAATCGCATAAGGATTATGAAAATATCGTTCATCTGTTCCTTCGCTAATTGCTTTATAAACATGTTGAAATGTTCCATTGATATCATAAGTGACTAAACGATTGTTGTATATATCACATACATCTAAATGAAACATTGATTGAGAAGAAGGAAAGTGGTAGAACGAGAAATATACAAATCAGTTGCTCTTGCTTTGAATAGGCTAACGACGATGGATGAAGAAATTCCGTTTGTCCCGTTCCACGTCGACCAATAATTCGTGGTGTTCGTTTATAACTCTCAAATGGTGAATAACATCGATTTCCGTTGTATAATTTTATAATTGGTGACTCGTTTTTTTCCAGTGGAATTTGCTGCTTTGTACACAAGCTCTTCATCGACGGAAGTTGAAGATTACTTTGAATCGGTTCCAATTCACGAGTGATCTCAAGAAAACCCAACGAAATTGCATCGAATGATATATCTTGATTATAAAATGAAATCTATGATGACAAAAAGAGAGAATTTCATGATAGTTTTCCCTGATTTGCTCTGGATTTACTCGACGATGTGGTGTTCGGACAACGAGAATTTGATTTTGAAGATCGTTTATAGTGACAACCGAATCTTCACAATTTTTTCGTATATCAATTGCTTCTTCATCTGTTTCTTTTTTGCTGAAAAACGTAAACAACACAATGTGAACTAAGAGAGTCACTCGAGCATCTCTCACCTGCGAAGTTTTGCTTGAGATGTCGAACAAAATGCTTTGATATCCGTAAGATTTTGAAGGCGAAGACTTTTCTCGTTGATTAATCTGGAAAAGAAAATAATAAGTTATTAATATCCTGATAAATCCTAATTACTTATGTTCAGAATTGTGATATTCTTGTGCATTTTGTATTAGTTTATTTTCTTCTTGTTTTATTGTGCTTATTAGTCCATTGACTTTCTCTCTAATCGTTCGAATAATTTCATTCGATTGACGGACATTTTCTTCGTGAATTTTGATACTTTCCACTAAAATTAAAACCATACCTAAGCAAAGAGATTCTGAGCAATTCCGTTACCTTCTTTTGCAATTAATTTCTCCGTTTCTTGCTGTGTTTCATTCAATTTCAAACAAATATATTTGCAAAATTCATCATAATGTTCACAACGACATTTATAACATATAGCTTCACGGCAATGTTCACATACCTAATACAACGTCATTTGAATAACATTAGAAAGAAAATATTTGCCCTTACTGTGATTGTATCATCCAATTTACAAAGAGCGCATTTAGCTTGAAGCATTGGTCGCAATTCTGTATGGGAAAGACTTTCAAGTAAATTGACAATTGTACGATTGACTTCAAGTGAACCGATACCAGCAAATGGAACACGATAACATCCGCGACAAACAGGACCTATCAGAATACTTTCTAAGTTAATCGAAACAGCGAGTGTAACTTTTAATTCTCACATCGACCCCACCGATCTTCGGTAATTCGGCCAAGACACGATTTACAAAACGTATGTTGACAAGGTAATTGTAAAGGTTCACGAAAGATCTCCAAACAGATCGGACTAGAAAAATAATTAATGAAAAACAATTGTCGAATTCATCAATATATTTACCATGTAACCAGTTGAAGAATCGGTTTCGAATTCTGTGTTGATATGACCGTACTAACACTTGTTGAACTATTATTAGTAACGTCTGACATAACCTATTAGAAGCAAAACGAAACGGCAATTTTTAACCTTAACTTATTCTCCTCTCAAAATCTTTCCTCGAACAACAAGAGAACAACATATATACATTTGATATTTAATGATAGAAGAGAAAAAACTTAGATATTCATACATGTATCCTCTGCAGGTGGTTATACGCACTTTGAAAGAACAAGTGAGGACAACCTTTAAATATCAGTAGCGATTCATCACATAGCTCGCCTGAACCATGATGATTTATTTGAACTATAATAATTATACATACGATTAAGAGCACCAGCTGGCATCACATATTTCTTTCTTCTATGTTTTCATGTATATATATATGCGTACTTATTCAATCGATTAAATCAAATGAATGTTAGTAATGGCAAACTAAAGATTAGTATTTCTGCAATGATGAATGGCTGAAAATGATTATGTAACATATACAAAAAAAGAAAAAGCGAAGATGAGATTTATGAAGGTTTTCTTATAAGATCACTCGTGATGTAAATGTCTAGCAGGTTGTTGCATTTCTTCTTCGGGATGAAAAGTTCATTTGAATTAAAATTTCAAAACGTAAATTTATGAATGTTAATCAGATGCACGAACTTTTCGCGACAATACTTACTCAATGTTGATTAGATTTGTACAAAAGAAAGACAAAGTAACGGCGAACCACGCGATAATTTCTTCTCATTAGTTTGTACAGACAAAACAGAAGAATAAACATCGATGAGTAGGTTCTTTTTCTTTCTTTTGTTTTCAACTGATAAGAGGAGTTACAAGTATGTACGATACGTGATCATATGTACGAACAACGAGAAAGAATCAGTACGATGATGGGAATTCTTTTATTTGAGTGTAGGAGATAACAGTAGTTGAATTTGACTTGAAAATTCTCATCAGTTATTTCGTTTCGTTGCTTGTATCATAATTGGATTTGTAACAATCGTTCGTGTTCTGGTGAAACAAGGCACGAAGCATTGATATCGAATTGTGTTTCATCGTCAACTGCATCGTTGATTGCTAAATTCGTATCTGAGACTGGAATCAAACTTTTAGAATGTTGTAAATCGAATGGAAGGAATAATTACTTTCAGTGTTTTGTCCAAGTTCAAAAACGGAATTGTGTATTCGAGTATAAACATAACTATCGTCGAATCGTCGATGTTTATGTTTCAATTTCGAATGTAAGCAAAGAGAGCAGCTGCAGAAAAAGCAAACAACAATGATTAGAAAGAAAATTAGATAGAGAGGTTTGGCTTGAGATTGACGCCAAAGTAGATCGAAGGAAAAGATTTCTTCAACCTAAAATATCAAGATTTGGTAGTTGTTTTAGTAATAAAATTCGAATATACGGAATGGATAAATGGAAATCTTTGTGAAAGATTCTTCCCACGACAAATTCGTTTCAATTTAGCCGATCGATATGATGACAGAGCTGGAATTCTTTGAACAGAATATCGACGAAAGAAAAACTCCTTTAAAAACACTTACTGAGAGAAGAAGGACCTGTCATCGCTGCATTGGTACTCTAAATTTTCCAAAATATCATCAAATGTTCGACATTCTGCTGCACAAGTGTCAGAGTCGATCAAAGTATCATCATAACATCTCTATGTAATCGAGAAATAATTGAATCAGCTGATTTGACAGATCAATTACCTCGAACTGTGGCCAAAATGCAAAGAATATATGGAAAAAATACGAAAAATCTTCCACACATCGCGTCGAAGTCCATTTTTCTTGTACAGTATACAGTGAACATAACATCGGAAGCAAATTCAATGTCGGAATACTGATATTCTGCAAAAAAAAGGAAAATGAGTCGTTGCTTTGAGCAATATCACAACTTCTACCGGCTTAGCTAATGATGGACATGAATGAATATACGTTACTAATCGAAAATGGCAATGTTGTAATGTGCAAAACGAATCGCCGCGCCGTCTGATCATATTTGAAGCGAATTCGACATCATCGCGAGATAAATTTCCTAAACACCACTGAGCGATCGGACACGAATTTGTTAAATTTTCGACCATCGTTCGATTAATCAGAGAATCATAGATGTTTTCTAATGTTTGAAAACGTATCAATGGTTGATGAACTAATAGATTTGTATAATTATCAATCGAATACATTTCGCAGATGTCATTCAGTTTCATTGATGAATCGCATTGATCAATACGGGAGAGAATCTCCGCATTACGATACGAATTCATTTGATCGACAAGAGATTCGGTCGAAAATGACGATTGTGTAGTCGTACTGTTCGTTGAGAGACTTTCTGATGTTTCAACTGTTGATAATTCAGTGGAATTTTCAGGAGCCATCGACAAAGATTCATTGAAAACGGAGATACTAGTATTAGTATACTCATCTATGGAATATTCAACTTCGAATACGCTGTACTCATTATAAATTCACTTACCATACTGTTCATCAAGTAGAGGTGTAGCGATGGAACTCATAAGGAGAACCATTGGGATGATCATTATTAAGATCTGTGTGAAGACATACATTCTGTATATTATCGTTCGAGAAACAACGATGAATTAATATTAACATTTTCTATTGTGCTGATATTTATGCATAAGATATCTCGCACCAGCTGTCCTTATAGAAAAAAAGAACGAAATATATTAATCATTCTTTTCTGTACATTTCCGTTTGTCTTCAAGCGAACCGCATAATTCGTTCATATTCATCACATAAGAATAGGTCGTGCACTTCACTTCGAATTGCTTATTAATCGTCGAAACATTATGCAAAAG